ATCCATGCCGCTGCCGTGCCCAACATCGCAGCTCCGTGGCCGCCCGCCTAGTTCCTCGCCAGTCGCCGAACCACAACCCCAGCAACGGCATTGAGCTCCACAAGGCACAGGTGATATTCGAGAGGTGAGTCCTTTTCCTTGACATCTTAGGATCTACAATTTTTCAGAGCTTAAATTTATGGTTTTCAAAACCTTAAAACATCGATAAATAAATTCCTTATGGACCTTCTATAAAAAAATAATTGGAACATCTGTTAAATAGTAATGAATAGACGTCGGATTTTATGACATTGTTTTGTATCCGATTTTCAGTGATCCCTGATTTCACATAAAATCCAACTTCTAGTAGTGAATTTATCGATTAAACAATGTTTATCGGTATGATCACTGGAATTGTTTGAATCTATCGAAACTTAAATCCCGAGTATTATTTTTCCAGGTCACCGCCAGCAGCTCGTCGGGTTTTCAATAGCCCCAATTGCAATGGGGGACCAGGAACAATGGTGGGCGCGGGATCGGCCAGTGGAACAGGATCCTCATCAGTAGCAGGAACAGGATTGGGTGTGGGTGTGGCAACGCCTCCGCCGCTCCAGAACGGTCACAGTCTTTCGCCGAACTCGGGAAAGTACCGCAGTCGCAGTCCGACACCGCAGCGCAAGTTTCTCAATCAGCAGACGAATGGAGGAGCAGGAGGCAGTGCATACGCAACGGGTTCCAGCCATACAGTCATCACAGAATCCACTGGCGGTCAGTTGCTCGGATCGCCCAGTTTGGCCAGGCGATCCATGTCGCCGAGTCCTCGCCGTTTGATCGATATGCGCAAGAAACAGAGCTCCTTGGATTCGTACAGCAGTGGTCCGAAATCCCTGCCTGGATACAGTTGCTCCTCCATGGAGGAGGCGAATAGCGGATCTGCAGTCGGGTCGGCAGCAGGAGGAGGATCAGGATCAGGAGGATCGGGGGCAGCGGCAGCGGCGGCTGCGGCGGAGCAGGGTGGCGCCAACAAATTCGAGAATATCAGCGACAACGGCAGTGAGATCAGCGATGAGGGCTACCGCAGCCTGGGCGTCATCCAGTCCGGAGCCCAGAAACGTGAGTCCCTCCACAGTCAGGCTTCCATTGAGGACGCTGAAAGCAATGGTGAGTTCCAGATCGTGCACCATCTATGGGTACCATAGATACTCGTTTCGATAAAATTCCGATAGCCGCGTATCTAAGCAATACATTTTTAAAAATCTATTTTAAATTATTTAAGATAGAAAAATAAAATTGAGTATTTATTTTGCAGCGCGTCTTGACCAGACCTCCAGCGACTCGCAGATCTCGCCCTCCGATGAGCCGACATCCGATGAGAAGACAGCCGTAGACATTCTGGAAGAGGTGGATCTAAATGGCCATGACCGCGAGCACGAGGAGCACGAGGACTACTCGGTGTGCGATGGGCCACAATCCCTGCCGGCTATCCTCAGCGTGGCCCACAAGCTAAACGACAAGTTCGAGCAATCCGGGGTCTTCATCACCGACGACGAGATCACCGTGGACATGGCCAAAACCGAGGATCAATCGGTGGCTCCTGCTGCGGGACTTCAGGCACCCAATCTCAGCAAGATTCCGCGCTCTCCGCTGGCGCAGCGTCGTCGCCGGAGCATCGATAATAGTACCTGTGGCGGTGCCGGCGGAAGTTTGCAGGATTTGAGCAGCCGATCGGGATTACCGGCTCCGGCTTTTAGTCGCAAACAGCCGGTCTATCGATCCGTGCGAACGCGCAACTCCACGGGAGCCACGCCCACACCGGTGGCGCCGCCCCGATCACGTCAAGCCACCCAATTGCCAATGGTGCGGGATGTCACCAATACGTGGAGCGGACGAGCCACGGGAGCACCAAAGAGGAGACCTCCCTGCACCGCCGACACCTTTGTGGCGCCACCCACCAATGGAACTGCAGCAGCAGCAGGATCCTTTGAGCGCAACGGCAAGGCACGCTCCTCGCAAATCCTCTACGACAGCAATGGCCGGCGTGTGAGAAGTGGAGCACCCGGCTGCACCAGTTCGCTGACCACGTCGCCTGTGAAGAATCACGCCTCCTCACCGCTGGCCCAACAACTCCTAGAGGCGGCCAGCAGCGCCAAGAACGATGCTCAAATTCTGGAGAAGATGAAGTCGCTACTGTCGCGCTATGCGGCTGGTAACCAAGCGAAGGCAGGAGGAACAGCAGCGGCCAATAAGATCAACAGCAATGGCAAGAAGACACCGGTCTACGAGGACTTCACCACGGCATGGGTGCACAGCAACGGGAATCTGGAGCGTTCGGAGAGCTGTTCTCCTCCAGCGAAGGCACGATCCAAGCGGAGCTCCGCCGCCAGTTCCTGCGAGAGCAACAACTCGAATACGGGGGGAGCAGGAACCGGAGCTGGATCATCCAGTGTGGTATCGCCCAGGCGGGAGAGGGGCATGTCCAAGATCCCGGCGCCAGTACGCCATCATACAGAGCTTTACTAGCAGCGCCGGAGGACGCCAAGCGTCCAGGTCCGTTTCCAAGCCAAGTCGAGGGTTTTCTGAAAAGCCTCCAAGCGAGCAGAGGAGCAAGCAGGCGACAAGGAAGTGAAGGAGTCAAATGACTTGGGGATCGGGGGTAGTACATACATATGTATAAGATAGGGTTAAAGCCAAGCTGGAATTGTCTGCTGCTGCTACGGCGTGTGTGTGTGCGTGAAGAGCAGAGAAGAGATCAAGAATCAGAAGAGAAGAATCTGGGAGAATAATCAGATTATCCAATTAAAGATTTAAGCCCAAAAGATAGTCCGATTAAAGTTGGGAATGAAAAATGAGAAGCATTAAGGAAACCATCTCAAAAGACAAAGTATAGGAAGGGACCCCACTCCAATAGGAAATCCAAGGGAAAGCCATAGCTATAGGAAACCCAAATCAGAATCAGGATCGATCAAAATGTCGAGTGAAGAAAGCAAAACTGAAACTGCCTCATAGACAGTCAGGTCAGAGTCCCTAGCAGCCAGAGACCCCAAAGCATATCCCCCTTATAAACAACTCTCTATCTGAGCAACCTTTTCTTAAACTATAACTTTCAACTATAACGAACCCCCTATAATCGTCGTTATGTAAGCTCTCTACGTTATCAACTCTCTTTCCGTATAACCACTTAATGTACTACGCTAATACGCAGGCTCCAATTTCCTTAAACTTTATATTTCCAAATAGATCTTATTGTTTTCATTTTTGTGACTTTATAAAATAACAGCATTTCCGTAACCAAGAATAGGCATTTGATTTGTATTTAAAGCTAGCGTATAAATGTGGTTAATTGTGAATTTTATGATGCCCCCAGTTCGCTTCGATCTGTGCTGATCTAGGGTAATGAATATACCATATATACAATCCAAATTTGAGACTCGAGTAAAAATTTTAAATCAATTTTTTGCCTAGGCCTAGAACAGGAATTTTAAATCTACACGAAAGCAAAACAATATCAAATATATCTATTTAAAAGCATAAGCACACCACACACACGATCGCAAACACATAGAGGGCGCATACATAGTTTTCTAGAAATTTTTAAAGTAAAGCCAACCAAATTCTTCAGATTCGATATGTAGCGAAGCAGAATACATTTATTTTTGTACGCTTGATCAGAGGAACCGGCAGAGATCGTGGGATCTGGATGGATGAATAGCTTTTAGACAACTCGACTTTTACAGTATAGCTATATATATACAAGAAAGTGTGGATTCGGTTAGGGATATAGCAAGCATAGCTAGGAAATGAAGCGAACGCCCCGCAAACACCTTCGATAAGTGGGTGCTCCTTGGTCTGGGAACTCCAAAATCACGCTCTTCAAAACCACAAACCTGCACCACCAAAAAAACACACACACCACACAAGGGATACAGTGCGTTCCCGAAGTTATGGGCAGTTTAGTTCGAATGTAATGATCTTAACCTATAATGGAAGTGATTCTATAACAGATCTAGAACGCACTGTTCCTGCCGAGAATACTTATATGACACACATAAAAAAATACAACACAAAACAAGAAAAACGGTCACAAAAAAAGGAAAATAACTGAGAAACTATAGCTTTTGATGGGGCAGAAGGATATCGTTATAAAGTAAACGGCATCGTAGAGCGAACGAACGAACCATAGCATAATTATCAGAACCCTTAAAATTTCTACTATTATAAAACACATATGATTATCTTTTTTTTTTCTTTAGCTTTAGCAATGTTAACATATAGTTTAGTACATCGTACCTATGATCATGCAGTTACATATATAGATTGTAAATTGTGTTTGTCCAATTGCCCCCATGTTGTATAGTTATTATGTACTCGTAAAATCGGCCTTAATGTTCAGTCTGTCGATACCTTAATCAGTTTCATTTTGTATTTTTTTTTTTAATTTCCTTTTGTATAATTTCTATTTGAATTTAAGTTGCGTTCTTCAGCTTTTTATTGTACACCAAATGATACCAATTTATGTATAGAATCGAAGTGGCGAGAGAGATCGCAACCAAAATAATTAATGATTAATTGTTTAACAATTAAATTGTTCCAATACACAGACACACACATAGACAAAAACACCCACACACATACACACCTGACCCGTGGTGTAGTTACAATTATAGAGAATTAAGTAATCCAACCGATTTGCATGCCAAAAGGTTGATAGCAAATCGGGCGAACAGAGGAGGATATTGCACCACGGGTTCTCGAGCGCTGGCCATGATGAGCATCGCATCGCATCGCATTGCATATAATATATTCGGATATCTATCGCATAACATATAAAGTGTATTTTAAATACAGCTAAAGTGTAATTATCAATTCATTTCGAAAGCAAACTAACTATTACAAATGGAATAGATTAGACCGCAAGGGTGTACTCTAAGCGAAAAGCAGCATAATTGATTTTAATCACAAGAATTTAATTAATAAAAGCCTATATACAAATATATATAATGAAAACCAACAAACAAGCCATCGTTTTAACTTATTTATTTATTCACATATACAAAGTGTGCTGGAATCAAAGCAGTGCTTAGGTATTTAGCAATACATATAGTCTGTTGGCTGGTGGATAGAGCATCTAAAGATCGCCGAGAGTGTCCAGCCCGCCGCCCGTCTCCTTGCCAAACTTGGCCTTATCCTGACTCTCGGTCCAGGCCTTGGCGATCATCTGCTTCGTCTTGGAGTCCCCCTCGTTGTACATCTTCTTCATGATGTTGACCAGCGCTGATTCGGGATTATCGCTGTCCTTACTCAGTTCTGAGTCTTGTTTCTGTTTCAGCCGCTTCTGGATGGCGGTCAGCACATCCCAGTGCTCGTCCTCCTTGACCTTCTTCAGGTAGATGGCCACCGTGTTGGTCTTGATCTTACGGTAGCTCTTCTCCACATCAATGCCATGCAGCAGGTTGTTCACGGTCAGCCCAAAGTCCTTGCCCGCCAGGTCGCGCACATGCAGCTGCAGCGAGTTCGGCGTGTAGGTGACGGTCACATCCTCCTCCGTGCAGCCCTGCACGTCCTTTAGGGTGATGAAGAGTTTCACAAACTTGGCGCTCTGATCCCAGCCGTAGTCGGTCAGCTCGTGCAGATATCTGGGGTGATCAATAACGGTTTACCAATAAGCTCTATCGAAACTTCTAGACTCTAAACTTTGAGTTGTAACTTGGTTAACAAATACAAGTATAAACACACTTCTTGCTCATCAGATATCTTGGGTTATGAAGAGTTTATGGGTATATGCACTTCACTGTCTATAGAAGGAAATTATGAATTTTGTGGTATATGATATGATATGGGTATGATACAATGTGTGATGAAAACGAGTTGATCCAATAAAGCATTTGTTTTCATGTTGATTTCCCTACAATCTTAAAACCATCTTATAAAAGTTATAGTTATTCCCGGGAGACAATAAAAAAAAAAGAATAGATGAAGCACGACGTGGGGTATAGGATCGGAAATGCTTCCCTTCACTGCCCATAGAAGGATATAATGAATCTTGTGGTCATGTCATATGGGTATGATACGAAGCATGATAAAAACATGTGGAACCTATTATACTTGTTTTAACGTTGACTTCCTCACAATAATAAAGGTTGCAGTAATCCCCGGACGATTATAACAAAATTAAAGAATAGATGAAACACGATGCAGGGAATATGTGGGCGACACCGTTGACCCCCGGGTTTGGAGCACCCCCGTCACTGACCTTTTGGCATCTCCGGAACCGGCAGCCTTTCGCTCCTCCGCAATTTTGGCCTTCATCTCCAGGTTGACGATCTCCCGCTCCGCCTCCGCTTTGGCGGTGGTCAGCACGCCTTTTACGCGGGCTCCTTTGGCCTGCGCCAGAAAAGCCGCGAACTCGGCCACATCGCTCTTGAGCTGTTTGCCGGATGGGGTAATGGTTTTCAGTTGATAACTCAGTTCAGGAACACTCGGACTTACCTGTTCTAGGGACATTTTATGCAGGTTTTGAATAGCAATTGATCAAATTTCGTGAACTCGCAGAAATTTCGAGCAATTCAATGACGCCGGCGCCCGCTCTGAATGTGCTAAAAAACGACTAACGCGTGGCGAGAACAAAGCACATTGTGAAAAATACTTACTAGCATATTTTTCGGTATATTTCAGCAGGCAAATAACGGTATCCCTTAAAATACTTATGCGGTATTTTCGGTTCAATTTAGTAGGAGAATAGCCGTTATCAGTATCCTTTAAAATATAAAGATAAAATTCATAAAAAGCTGATAAGATAATAGAGATTGTTTATAGGAACCGCGTATTTTTATTTATTCTCTGGTTCAGGGCAATTGCTACATGTACTGTTAACAGACTTAATATCACCAATTTTTTTCGAATACCATTTTGTCGCCATATATATATTTGACAGGAAATTGCGCCGAAAAAGCGATTTTCCCGCCATTGAAGTGTTGGCGTGCCAAACATCGATTACCGATGCTTTGAAAACATCGATGACATCGAGGTTTCTCCACCTCTGTGAGCCATCGGAATCGACGGTTGATACCACAACTCGCCCCCGCGGAACGCCGACACATAATCTAGACAATACGACCCCAGTGCAGTGCCCAGTTAATGTGCTCCAACCAGGGAACCCACTTGCAACCAGCGGACGCTGCGCCACAGCCAGAGTTCCGGGATTAAAGGGCGGCGCAGCAGCAGCAGGCTTCTGATATCGTAACTCCGGATCGGAGCGAAAGGCCTCCAAGTGAGTAGTAGGCCTCGCCGGATAGGGCAATGCCGTCCATAGGGAAACTGCCTCACTATCAACCTAGGAACTCAACCGTTCGACAGCAAACGCTTCTCTTCCATTTGGCCTGGCTAACAACTAAATTGAACTGTTTTTCTCGTCCAAATTATCTATCATCAGGATATTCTGCCGAGGAACACAACGTTTGGGATTTTGGGATCATACCAAGCCGATGCCCAGGAATAGTGTGCTCCTGAACAGGAACAATGGCCGATCGCGTTCTGTGCCAGGAGTTGGCAACGCCAGGTACTCACTATCGTCGCCCCAAGTCGGGCATAGCCAGCCCCAATATGGGGTACGCCAATGGAGGCGGATCCTGGCGAGCGGCTCCGAGGCACACCCAGAAACAGCAGCATCAGCAGCAGCAGAGGCAAACGACGCCCCAGCAATATGGCAACAGTCCGGGAACTGGAACAACAAGCGGCGGTGGAGGAAGGTATGTGGGCAAGTCCACGGCGGAGGAGCCGCAGCCAGTGGAGTCCACTGGAGCTGAGGTGGTGGCGGGTCTGCCGGCCACTCCGCGCACAACCAAGCAGACGCGCAACAAAAGTGAAGGTGGGTTAAGGGATACTACTAGTTGCGCTATAGAGATGTCTAATCTGTGATCCCTGTAGAAGCCATCAATGATCTCCTTGTGCGTATACCGGACATTGGCAAACTGTTCGATGTCCACAGCCGGATTGGAAATGGCACCTTCAGCACCGTCTTACTGGGGACTCTGCGGCGGGAATCACATCTGCCGGACAGTCTGCGCCGCAAGTTCGCCATCAAGCATCATATACCCACCAGCCATCCGGATAGGATAATGAAGGAGCTGCAGTGCATGACCAAAATGGGGTAGGTCTGGGGACCCAGGGGTAATCCCCTGGGATTCCATAATGCGATACAGATACACACTCTATCCCGAACCACGAACACTCCACCCACGCACGCTGCTTCGTCCTCGTCTGCGTCAAACGCCGTTAAACGACGTCAGCCGGTAGCCGCTCCATCTACGTCATTGCAATTTATTTCGCCGCACGAACGAGCGAGATGGCTAGAGACTACTGTGGCGTTCGTTTATTGCACTTTCACACGCCATTCACGTGCCCATTTACAGTTACATTGAGGCCCCCCCTGCACAGCGAAAAAAAACGGACCCTCTACACACATTTATACCTTTTTCGCCATCACTTTGATGTGCGAATATTGTTTAAGCCAGCTGAATTTCACCTTTGTTTACGCAGAATGGCATCTGCCGTGCACACAAAAGAAAAGAGATCGCATTGAAACGCTCAGTTTAGATAGATATTCCCCTGTTTCATATTCATTTAGATCTTAACTCGAGAAGAATACAACAATCTTTCATAGATACTTATAAGAGTCAGAGTTCGTAGCCCACCCCTGCTAAATGCATTTGTATATTTTATCAGCTTTGCCATATACAAGGTTCATATTATTTTGGCCTGTGGCAGATTCAAATTTGAAGAGAATAAAAAAGTCTTTCTCTTAAAAAGGCCCAAAAGGCTAGATAGTTAAAAAGTCCGAGTTCGTTACCCACCCCTGTCAAATACCTTTGACTATATTATTGGCTTACCATATGTAGATGGGTTATATTCATATCATATTATATATCTGAATAATCTTTATAAATCTGATTGAAATACTGATTAAACAATCAAGTTTTATATAATTTTTTTCCGTGTGGCAGATGTAATGTTTGTTTACAGCCCGCGCACATCACACATGCGTGGTTTCGAGCCACAGACACTGGCATATCCTGCAATCCCAGTCGTCTGCTATCGATTGCCGTGCCCCGCCACGCGATTAGATTAGGCGTAGTCGCCCAATCCGAACCCAAATCGGTTCAATACCGCCTCGAACCGGAGGAGTTGGGGCCAGTATCGTCACTGGTCAGGTTCGGCCCATCACCCCGGCTGGATGGGTCTCCTGCTCCACTCCCAAATAGGTAGAGAAAGTGGGTATTCTGTGTGGGCGACGTTGCGTGCTTGACATTAGCCGGCTGCCCCCCAGATTACCCATCTTTGGCCCCTCAGAGACCCATGGCCCGCTGCGATTTTGTGTCTATTCAAGCAATTTGCGCAAATTCCGAAGACCCAATTGCGTCACAGCCGACGATAATTATGACTGGGCCACGCCGAGTGCTCCCTCACGTATTCACATATGCCGTATTCCGTATTCCGTAGCCCATCGCCCAGTTCGCAAATCGCATCTGCCATATCGCCAATCGCTCTCGAAAGTGTGATGTGCAGCTGGCTACGAAAGTAGCTAGACAAAGCAAGTGGCATAAAAAACTAATCTTTTTTTTATAATAAAGTCCAATATTAACTTGGGGTTTTTACCTGATGTTGTGAACTTTTCGCTGAATTTCTTAACTTGCATTTCGGACCAAATGGTTGTAAAGATCTAAAATTGGGCCTTCAAGCATATTAAGAAATTCTAAGATATGTCAAATCACAAACTACGTATAGTATAATAAAGTCAAATATTAACTAGGGTTTTCTCCTCTTGTCGTGGAACTATAGCTTACACTTATACAAAATACAAACAAATAGGCCCTTAAAGCAAAGAAATTCTGAAACCACAAATCACAAAGTACATATAGTCTAAACAAATATTTGAAATCCATTTGTCTAGAAAGTATGTGTGTTTGTTTGTCAACACAATTTTTTTTAAATTATTAGCTTTATTATAGTTAAAAAACAGGCCAACACTGGTTCTGAGTGACGTCGAAGTGCCTCTCTCTCTCCCTCAGTTTATCTCCCTCCCACTCCCACTCATTCGAAGTGGGCGGAAGTGTGGAGGCGTCTCTGTTGTTATTGTTGTTTACCCACAGGGAACAAAACCCAGCAGCAAAAAATAAGGGAAAGTTGGCTTGCTTTAATCCGGCTGTCCAGTTTAATCAATCCCATCGTATTATACAAATTGTGTATTCGCTATCTTTAAAAATAACATTTCAGTGGGAGGGACACTGTCTATACATATTTTGGCGCAGAAATGTCTTTGTTTACAAGCAGAATAGGAACCAAATAAATACTATATATGTACTGTATAGGATTTAAGAATTTACGATATTTCTTAGAAAATGTCAGTTGAAGCCCTCAAAAACTGTGTCCTTAACATCTTTGAACTTTAGATTTCGGGATTTGACCAGAATAGGTCAGGATATAAAGTTATTTAGGTTAATGCTAAAGGAGCTGTTAGGAAATGTTCGGACCCAAATCCCAAATCAAAATATCTTAAATATTCAAATATATAATCCATATCCTCTCCATTTTTACTTTCAAGCCCCAAACTGTCACACCTAATATATGGTTTTCCCGCTCTGTTTTGCTTTCCAGGGGAACGGAGAACGTGGTGGGCATCCACTGTTGCCTGCGATGCGATGCCTCCGCCGCCTTCGTGATGCCCTACATGGCGCACGACCGATTCCACGACTTCTACACGCGTATGGATGTGCCCGAGATCCGGCTGTACATGCGCAATCTGCTGGTGGCCCTGCGCCATGTCCACAAGTTCGATGTTATCCATCGGGATGTGAAGCCGAGCAACTTTCTCTACAATCGCCGCCGGCGCGAGTTTCTTCTGGTCGATTTCGGGCTGGCACAGCATGTAAATCCCCCGGCTCTGGGATCTTCAGGATCCTCCGTTGCCAACAACAACAACAACAATAGCAAGCGACCCCGCGAGCGGGATGCCATGGAGACAGTGCAGCAAAGTGCACCAGCAGATGCTGGCCTGGGTGGAGCTGTCAAGCGCATGCGTTTGCACGAGGAGTCCAGCAAGATGCCCCTGAAACCAGTCAATGATATTGCCCAAAGCGAGCTGCAGCAGTCGGCTGCGGCAGATGGCTCCAATCCCGTCCAGCAACAGCCAGTGCAGCAACTGCAGCAGCAGCAACAGGGCCAGATGGATCAGACACCCTCGACCGCGTCTGGCAGCAAGTACAATACGAATCGAAATGCCTCGGTAGCGGCGGCCAATAATGCCAAGTGCTTCTGCTTTGCAAATCCATCTGTTTGCCTCAATTGCCTGATGAAGAAGGAGGTGCATGCCTCCAGGGCAGGAACACCTGGCTACCGGCCGCCAGAGGTGCTGCTCAAGTATCCGGATCAGACCACCGCCGTTGATGTTTGGGCGGCGGGTGTGATCTTCCTCTCGATCATGTCGTCTGTGTACCCGTTTTTTAAGGCCCCCAACGACTTCATTGCTCTGGCCGAGATTGTCACAATTTTCGGAGATCAGGCGATTCGAAAGACGGCCTTGGCCCTGGAGCGCATGATCACGTTGAGCCAAAGGTCCAGGCCACTCAATCTGAGGAAGCTGTGCCTGCGTTTTCGCCACCGTTCCGTTTTCAGTGACGCCAAGCTCCTCAAGAGCCACGAATCTGTGGACGGAAGGTGCGAAGTGTGCCGGAACTGCGATCAGTACTTCTTCAACTGCCTGTGCGAGGATAGCGAATACCTGACGGAGCCACTGGATGCCTACGAATGCTTTCCGGCCAGCGCCTATGATCTGCTGCATCGCCTGCTGGAGATTAATCCCCATAAACGGATCACCGCCGAAGAGGCACTGCAGCATCCGTTCTTCACGGCCGCCGAAGAGGCCGAACAGGCGGATCAGGATCAAGTGGCAAACGGAACACCGCAAACACGAAAGGTACGCCGGCAACGGTATCATAACCACAAGACGGTGGCCGCAACGCCGGAGCAACTGAAGCAGCAGGTGGCCCTCGACCTGCAGCAGTCGGCCATCAACAAACTGTGAAACTAGTCCTCACCACACACATTTTGTATATAAACTATGCCCAAATCACATATCACGATTGTATATAGACCACACCCACCACCCACCACCACCGAGCACATCTCATATGCACCCAGGCCCAGAAGAAACTCGTCCAGTGTACAGTGTCCAAGTGTCCAAGTGCCCCCGCTCGGCCACATCTACTTACCTCAGGCTGCAGGAAGGAAACCAAATGAAGCACTCAATCCACGCATATATATTTATAGAAACGTTTCAAGCATGAACAATAGGCAAGGAATACCAAAAAGAAAGCGAAGAGAGAATGATTATGAAGTATGGTCGAAAGGATTGGGCCACCGCCCAGTGGCAGAAGTTCTGCACTATCCAGCATGTTGTATAGTTCGAATAGTCTTAGCTAACCTAAGTAATTATTGTATATCTGAAAGTGCGTGCGCAGATATATTATTTAGAACCGAAAATATATTTATACCATGAATAATGAATGAAATTTATAATACGGAACCGAAGAAATTAAACAATTGAACTCAAATGCATGGAATGTTTTTTTTTTTGAAAATTATAAGAAAATGTTTTCAATGGTAGAAAATATAACTTCAGGGTATATATGTAGAGTTTAGAATCTGGCTTTGTTTCGGATTTTTTTTGGATGCGCAACAGCTAGATAAAGATTTAAAAACATGTTTATGTTGGAAAAAAATGTATTTATAGAAAGCAATTACAAGAAACCAGAGTTTTGCAGGGTGAAAGGTCCCCAGGCCTTAAAAACTAAGCTAGATCAAAGGATAGGATCCTTCCCCCCGACTATGTCTCCATTTTCTCGGCTTTCTTGCGCTTCGTTTTGGACGTGGAGGGCGAGTCGGTGGCTGCTGTGTCCTCTGGCACCTCCTCCACCCGGATCCTCTTGCCGGCGACCACATCATCCTTGGACGGCTGCGTTTCCATGGCCCTCTTCTTGGGCTTCACGAAGCTGCCACGTCCAGCGGCGCGTTCCGCCTCCTCGATGCTGTAGGGCTCGATCTCCAGCGCCTTGAGCCGCCGCTTGTGCACCTTGGTGCGGAAGTGGGCCTGCATTGCGGTGTCGTCGATGAAGTACTTGGCACAGTGGACACAGTAGAACTGGGCGAATCCCGGCTTGTCGAGGTCCACGTTCTGATTGATGAGCTCCCCGCTGCGGGTGCGCAGGTCATCGTCGATCTGGTCGAGATCACGACGGCGATTCCGCACACGCCACCGCCTCTGCAGGTGGGTATCGCCATAGTGCATCTTCTTGCGCTTCGTTACCATTCCCATCTTGCTGGCTTTTGTTTAATTTACTACTTTAAATCAAAAAATAAACGTTTGTTTTGGCACGTGTTTTGGTTGCCAGTTGGGTATCAGCTTAAGTGGGTTTGCCAGAGGTTTTCCCCAACCTGAAATCAATTCAAACATTTCATTTTTCCACTAATCTTGTATTTTGTTGGTTAACTTTACCTATTTCGGCCTAAAAACAGCGTTTTTTAATAATTTAATTTTAATGCGCACCAAAATTCCCAGAGGTGGACAGCGGGCGATAACTCTTTTATCGGTATTGAAAAAAAGGTGTGTACACACTGGTGACCAGCTGTTTGTTTTTATTTTCATTAAATACTAAAAATTTAAGCATAAAGCATAACAAAACAATAAAGAAAAAATTAAAACACCTTTCTTATTTTGTAATGTTCCCTCTGTGTTCTATCTGTTTTTAAATAAATCGTTAACTTTTTTGTCATTTTTTAGTACCTTTCCGTGTGCAGTGCACTGCTAAATAAAAAAACATATGTTGCAATTAATTAACAACAATCGCGCGAACAAGTTGTCTGCGGGCGGACGTATTTTGTTTTGTTGTTACTTAGGAAGCAACGTAAGCCTAGAACACATAAATATATACAAAAAGTTTATAAACTGGAGCCGATAAAGTGCAATGATAAACAAAAAAAAAAGAAAGAAGAGTGAGAGAGGGCGCACACCCGCAGACTAGCGCACACACATGTGCGATTGGATAACACTGTGAAATGGATCGGGTTTTACACTTGCAAAAACGCTTAAAGCAGTTATCGTGATTGTTTTTGTTGCTACTCTCTTTTTTGTTTTTGTAACAGAGATGCTGCAGCCGGTCCACTATTACTATCTCTCTTGCCCTCAAAGCTTAGCATGCATATGTAGTTGTAGTGCGTGTGAGTGTGGTTTAGTGCAAATTGCAACAACAAAGTAATAAACAGAAACTGTGATTGTGGATAAGAGGGGGTTGATGATGGGCGGAGGGTGGGGTGGGGTGGGGTCCAGAGGGAGTGGGACAGCTGCTGCAAGCATTGTACAAAATGACAATTGTTGGTTTATTGGCATTTATTGTGGACTCTCTGTTTTTAGCTAGACATTCCGTTGAATTCGCCACTCAAACCGGCATTACAACATTGTTACAACTAGAGCAACAACAACAAATTGCCGCCCAATTGCCGTAAGTACAACGAAAATACAGACAGAAAAACAGAAATAGCATTAATACAACTAAAAACAAAGCTTAAGAATCCTTATCGATAATCAGCGATTGCATACCGATTGTGATTATCAATTATCAGTGCCAATTGCGTATCAGTCAATTATACCGTTACAAGCACAATTAACCGCGTGTGTGTGTGTGCTTTGATTGATATATGTACGAATATAGATCTACAAACTCTCCCACTCTTTCTCTCTTTTACACTATGATATAACAGCTCCCCCGCCCCGCCCCCAAAAGAAACATGCACTAAACGAAAATAATCACTCTCGCTCTCTTAATTGTTGTTGTAATACATGCCAGTCACGATTTGACATTTCGAAAAGGTGTGAATGTGTGTGCCAAAGAAAAGGATGGAGCTCTCTTTGCAGAGATCAGCTGATGAACTGAACCCCATTTCCATGCAAATATACAGAGAGAAAAATTGGTGTCTTTAGCTGTTATTTTTTTATTTCAGAAAGCAAGGATTAAATAGTTTATAATTTTATATACTAACCAATCATAAACACAGACATTTTTCAAAATGAGTATAAAGCTGAATCAGTAGACTATCAGCATGTTAACTTAAAAAAAACTTATTTGCTTATTTTAATGAATAAGTCGTTATTTCGCTGAGTAATCGCTTGCAACATAATACAGCTATCAAAGAGGTTTTTGCTGATTCATCATGTAAGTCTTGAAATTGTATGGGTACATTTTTAAAACGAAATTTAAAAAATAAATAAATACATTTTTTTTAACAAAATTGCCATGTTTTTTCCTGTGCAGAGATAATGCAGGCGACTAAAAGCGACAGTGTTAGAGCTAGAGATCCAACCGGTTCCGTCTATTTGTTAGTTTTTGTTGAACAGTTATCATGGGCGTAGTCAAGGGGTTATAATTCAACCCAGCCCCAAAGTCCAACAAACCAAACAACTATACGGGGTTCCCAAGAAACCAAAACAAACCACAGCTTTGGAAAAAATGTTATCTAAAAACGAATGTTCTTAGCAAAGGCATTATTAAATTATCAGAATATATTTATATTGTTATACCATAATATAAATGCCAAAGAAATTTCCGATGGAAAATATTTTTAAAATTGTCTGTTATATCATCAATGATCTTTAGATCAAAATAAATTGATCAAAGTTAAATTAAACATATGCACAGTCCAGAAAACAGTTTAAATAATATTGTTTGTATGATATTTTACTGAAAATCCTCCTTTTCAAATGATCTACTCCGCCAATGTTCAATAGATATTGCAAAATCCAAAAACTATTGCCGCATCCAAGAGTAGCAATCATGTATTGTATGTTGTATGTTCTCTTTTAATGGGTTATTTTGAAAGTCTCTGGTTTCCGTATCGATCTTTGACTGCCCAGAAATACCGCAACGCAGCTACATAATTTTCCTTTCGTTTGGGCCAAATACGAAAAAGAGGCAAACCAACAAGCCAGTTAACCAGTTGTGCCAGTCCAGTTCAGTTGGATAATTATTGAGTCCATCGCTCCAAGGCTAGGGCATTCCAATCCCCACCAGATCGCATAAAGAGGTTTTAGCTGTGCACTTGGCTACCTATTTTCATAAAGATTTCGCCGCTCAGAACACGAAGAATTCCAGCTAAACGGGTTTTCTATCACGATTGTCTCTAACACTGGCTGCGGTTTTGTTTTTTATTTTTTGCGGATGAGATTTATTACAAAAAAAAGAGGGGAGGAATCATTTAAAACTGCGCGTGTGTTTATTATTTGGGTTATCCCCCTCAGCTTCTTTATAGTATTAATCAAAACGATCAGAAAACAAAATGCAATAATAATTCAACCTGGAATGTTGGGAAAAAGATGAAATCGGTGTATTACGACATTGAAAACAATGTGACATTTGGGTTTTTACCAAAGTGCATGCGAGTAACTCAATATATGGTATAATTTGAAATGTATTATCGTCACTTAGGATCTTTTAGAGGTTCACAGTGGTAACCCATGTCCCTCGACCGCACTTCCTGCGATATCAGCGAGCTTTCTGCACTGCATGCCACAAGTGGCTCGTCTCGAACATGTTTCCCTGATTACTTTGTAATATGTGGTCGTACTTATCACTCAACTACGATATGAACTGAATGCGGTGAACCACAGAGACAAACAAAAGTAAAAAAAGAAAGAATACAGCTCGATTCGTCTGTTTTAATTCAGGTTCGCAGAGTTCCCATTTGCAGAAGTGGAACAACAGTTGGAGGAGTCGTAAGCCCCCCATTATAATCCAGGTTAATCCAAGGTCAGACGTGAGTGCCGGGAGTCGGGGGAAAGTGAGCGCCGCAGTTTCCTCTTTATCCGGTGGGTGGGCCACGCGGAGTTATGTCTGGAATTTTCATTTCACATTCTCCATTTCACAGTTCGCATTTAGCATTCAGCATTCAGCATTCCCCTCGAAGATGTGAAAGGGAAAGGGCGGAGGTTGGATTGTTCAGAGATTGACTTTCTAATTGAAATATCGGTTTGAATGGGATTTTTGGGTTGGGCAACTTGACCCGAAGCACACGTATAAAGCAACCTTTATTATTATAGTTAAATGGGAATAGTATTATAACATTTAATTCAGGTTTAAAACCCTGGGAAGCCAAATTTATTAGATAAGGGTTAATTGCTCGTCCGCATGTTTAACTAAAAGTATGTTTTAGGCTACAAATGCTCATAAGTTTTTCAAGTTTAAAACCTACTTCTAGTTTAAGATGCCTTGAGAGTAGGAATAATCTATCATTCGTTTTTTAATTTATACTACTCAATCTTTAGTATACAAATAAGATTTGTATCTCTAAAACCTTTTAACATGTGCTTAGAATATAATTTGAAATTATAGAACCAATTACCATATTACTATCCCTCTAAACTATTATTTTGACCGCCATTGTATCCATATTCATATCACTTATACACATGTACTTGGTTTATTATTCACTTACGAGTGGCAAAGTTTTAATGTGACTTTCACTCCGTTCTCCTCCGCAGCCATTAATCGCAGATTCACAGAAGAGCCGAGCGCAGTAGGAAGACAGTACCCCAGCCGAAGCTATGGACCACGCCACACATCATGACCACGCGGGCATGCATCACGATCACAACGCAATGGCAGATGCAGTGGGAGCCACCGCCTCGTCCTCCGATGCTGGGTCCATGTTCGACATGGTGCCCGACATGAACGACATACATGCAGCCCACACCGGTCACGCTGGACACGCAGGTCACAACCATGGCGGTGGTTCTGGCACGGGAATGGAGCACATGATGCCCATGGCGGTAAGATATCTTACCTGGAGGCTCTTTAGAAATCCCTAGGGGTTCGCCTTTACAAACTCCCGTCTCATAAGCTGATTTAAAATCCCCACAGTTCCACTTCGGATACAACGAGACGATCCTCTTCTCCTGGTGGCACATCGAAACGGTGGCCGGTCTGGTTGGCTCCATGATCGCCATCTTCCTGATGGCCCTGATGTACGAGGGCCTGAAGTACTACCGGGAGTATCTCTTCTGGAAGACGTACAATCTGCTGGAGTACCGCCCGGTTACCGGGCCCCAGAGGAATCCGGAGGCGCCACGGATTCCCTCGCCGGCGGCGGCAGCTCCCTCGCCCGTGCAGTGAGTTCCGGAGGCTTTGATTTAGATTATTCAATATCTTAAGGTCCCCTTAAGAGTTACAGCATGCTTTTTGCCCTCACCCCCTCTGCCTTTGGCTTTGTATCTATCGTATCCATACTTGTTGTATATATTAATCTTAATGCTTTCTTCTTTCTTCTCGTTTCGTTTTCGTTCGTTGCCGTTACCCGTTAAATCGTACGCCCCATTCCTGCTCCATCAAATATATATCTGCATATCATCAATGCGCGTCAATACGCTCATCATTTGTAAATTGATCCATCTCAAAAACTAAAAATCGAAACCAAATTCATACCGCTACGCCGCTCTGCTTCGTTGTATAATTGATTTTGTGATTCACGCGATCGTAATTGAAACTACATATATATATCGTAACTGAAATCTGATTCTGTATCTGTATCTGCATCTGCATCCGCGAATCGCATCCGCAATCGTGTGGTGTTCCCCCGGCACGCTTCGATCGATCCTTTTTTAGATACGTGGGCGAAGTTGTGCACAAGCAACCGTAAGTATCGCTCCATTTCCCCACCATTTGCCCACTTGACCACCTGCCCACCCCGTCCAACCAATGTATTCCCCGTCTCTGTATAATTTCTATGCCTCACTTAAGTTTGCGTTAATTTGTCTACGATGTTGGCTATCCGATATGTCCGTCCATCTGCCATTTAATGGGAAAAAACCTGCAACAGCTGTGTATCGGTTGGCAAATTGCCCTGTAATTTGTACAGATATCTGGACCATAAGATATAATATTACACTTTGGTTACACATCTGTAAAGAGCACACAGTAGTTACACTACCAATTGAAAATTAGTAGTCTAGAGTCTAACCCTAACTTACACTGGTAGCTTAATCTAACCATAGAACTTTAGAGCAGGACAACCCCACACTCAAAACCGAAGGATACATTTATATGGGTGCATGTCATAGCACCAGCGGGCGTTATGTCACTCTTAAAAATGTGATAAGGCCCACCGGTTTTATGACCCTTTCGAAAGTGTCATAATGCAAGCAGGTCGTTATAACATCACCTCATTTATAGTCCCTGTATTGTTATGTTCTATATTGTTTTATTTTGTTATGTTATGATTTTTGTGCCGTTCAGTTATGTACTTTCTGTTGTCCTGCTAATTTTGTCTGAGATACACTTGGTACCATGCTATAACTAAATGCAACTCTTTCGATGAACAGACCTTCGATGCTGTCGGTTAACCACCTGCTCCAGACGCTGCTGCACGTGCTCCAGGTGACCCTGTCCTTCCTGCTCATGCTGATCTTCATGACCTACAACGTGTGGCTCTGCCTGATGGTCGTCCTGGGTGCCGCCGTTGGGTACTTCCTGTTCTGCTGGAAGAAATCGGTCATCGTGGACGTCACCGAGCACTGTCACTAACAGAGGACCACCGGAAGCCTCAGCCGGCGATGTCTCACACAGGAGGAAGAGGAGGAGGAGGAGGCACAAGCGGAGGCGGACCAGGAGCAGATGTCCATCTGAACGGAAGGCGGAGGCGTTGGTGCTAGGCTGGAATTCCCGAAAGCTCTCATCCCCACAGAAAACACACACTTCAACTTCAACACACCCTGCTACTTGCTATTCTCTAGCTATATTAGCCTATAACTAACTCTTTAGCTGGATTGTAAACGATGCGGCGGCATCTGAATATCTGAATATCACAGCCTACAGCCGTTTACAGTCCAGCCTTTAAGTCCCGACACCAAGATCAACTATGTAAACGATTTTCCCGGAAGGAATTCCAGGCAATCGTTGTTATAAGTCGAAAGTGTATAGTAAACAAGAGAACAAATTGAGCGAATTGTATAAAGTTAAGCAATGCATATATAACTTTTTCTGTTGGTACTCAATCTATGTTCGCAGGATTCCCCCAAAAAGCAAATATTTTTTTTATCACTATTATTATATACCATTTTTGTATCCCTATTATACGATTATGATTATTATTATTGTTTGGTAATAAAATCCATTCTTTTTATATTTCACTTTTATTTGTTAGCCCCTGAAAAGACATGTTTGTTAAATTTGGCTTTCTTGTGAAATGTCAACCAAGCCACGAATGTTGTAAATTTGAATAAGTGCTTCAACAGTGCGTTTCACAAGTGTAATTCGGTTAACCAAAAAGATTGTAGGCCCCAAAAAGCTGGTTGGCATTGATTTGTGCTTGCATTTACGTGTTGTTTAAACAACTAATATTACTTTAGGCTCCAAAATTTAACACAATTATCTAATTCATTTTAACGCTTCCCCATTATTCCCACACCCGACTTTTAATTGTTGTCTGTTCTTTCAACTGACTGTCTGCGAATGGTTCATCACTTGGAAAATTACTTGATTTTTGCTCATCTCTTAAATGGCCTTTGTAAATGCTTTCCTATAAAGATGTCCATCTAAAACATCGCAACAGGCTTCCAAAGCGGCCACCCATTCTGCCTTAATGCCCCGAAACGCACTGTATCTAGCATATATTCACCCCCTCGATCAGCTTGCATAAATAGATGTTGTAGATATTACATTTAAAGCAAATACATACAGTAAAACGGCAACAAATTTATAAATATTATTAATATTAAATCTACCTATACATTAATAAATATACAAACAGAATATTGTTATAACTGAAACTGGAGCGAACTTTGAAATGTGTGGAAATGTTGGGGAAAATAAGCGACGTATTAAATAAAATTAATCAATTTAAAGTAAAATTATATATCAAATTGATATATTTTTAAACTATATTTACCCAGGAAAAGTTGAGCTATAAGGAAAACAACACCTTCGATTTCGTTTTCGGGATTTACTTTGATCTTTATTAGAAAATTATTGCGAGTCTCTCAATAGAATGTTGTATCCTTACGCATATCGTAATTCATAATTAAAAACATCTTTACATAACTACAGGCGATCGATCAAATTTTATTGACTGGTTACTCTATACTTAAATATGCATTCGTAAACCTTTTTTCTTCTTTTTCTAACTTTTGCTTGCCCGATGGGAATTCAATTCAATTGATTAATTTGCTAGGTGATCGTAATAACCAAACAAAGGGGTGATGGATTAGTGAATAGGATCTAAGTTTACTAGGGGAAGTGAGGTCCTTGCAGGCGTGGGGAAACGGGAGCTCAGCCTGTGAGGACGCAAAAATAAAGCGGCCCATACATTCATATATATGTACGGTTCTTCGAATGGTTTAATATTTAACTGACAGCTAACAACCCGCGCGTTCTCAATTACGATTATTAAGACCGATCGAAGGATGGGTGGAGAGTAATGGATATTGGAGTTATATAATAATATACATAATAGTTATAAGTAGATGAGAGAAATTGAAATTCACCTCGTTTGTATTGTATCATCATGCCTAATACAAGTTCTACACGAGTGTCTCTTTCTGCCTTCTCTTTCACTCTTCTCTCTCTTTCTCCGATCACTGATCGTTCGTTGATCGCCGATTGAAGATCGTTGATTACTGGATTTCTGGATTTCTGGATTTCAGGATTACGGACTTTGGATCTCGGTCTGTCTGTCGTGAAGAAACATTTATGTGGGGAGGTGTGGCATAGAAGTTACCTGGTTGGTTCTTCTTTCTCTATATATATCTCTTTAATTCTCTCTCTTTCTCTTTCTTCTCATATATATCCCTTTCATTCAATTCTATAATTTTGGGTTCCGTTCTTCAGTTGGCAGCTCCTGGAATTCGTTTGCAGAAATAAAAGTGTTAGTTGAGTGAGCCAGACCAACAGTTTTGGGTGGTAAAAAGGTGGATAGCGCATCTTAGACTAATTTCGAGCTGATCGTGTTTAAAGAAATAGGCTCAGGAGTCATCTGAGTGTGTGGTTTATTTATTTGTGGCACGAACAGTTCAGAACATACATCTACGAGGAGTTTTCTTAGCTCTGGACCGATATTCAACCTACGGCTGATCGTGTCACATGGCAGAAAATGGCAAAAATGGGCTTAATCAATATCAATATCATTATTTTTGGGGTCGGGGGTCAGTCACAATTTACCTGTTGGTGAAGAGGAGGGGGAACATGAACATACACTTGTATGGGTTTAGGAACTCGAACTCTCTCGCCCTCTCTGTCTGTGCTCTGTTTGCTGTCTCCCTCTGCTCTCTGCCTAGCTTGTTTTTTTATTGATTATAATTTAATTCGATTTAGCAATTCAATTACCTCGTGTTTTTTCGTGGGTGTCTTGGAATCTTGGCTTGAAGATTTCGCTGGGGTTAGTTTTTTTATCTTAAGAAATACGATAGTGCATAGGGGGATGGGAGGGGCAGAACACCACAACAATGAGAGAAGGATACAAAAAAAAGGAACATGTAGATCTACGACGGCAAGCCGAAGCCTTCAGGAACCACTTCCAAGGCAAGCACTTACTTTAAAGTTCGCTAAACTCATGAATTTCAAGTAAAACAAAAAAATATTCTCATCATTTTACAAAATAACAATACCAATACTTCAATGTTTATACTACAATTTCTAATAAGCTGAGGGAAAATAAGGTTTAAAAGTCTAGAAGAACTGGTATTAAATCCTTCAAACAATCGGACTCGAATTAGGATAGCAATATTTCAAGGCTTCATCCTTGGAAACGGCTTTTCGGTTGTTTGGTTTTTATCGATTGATCAAATGTACCTGTGCAATCTGTCAATCATCAATAGCTCCTCTCTCTTTCTCACTCCCACAGTCCGTCACTTTCTCACATTTTCGACTACGTACCTCATCTGTGGAACTCGAAACCCAGAACCTCCCATCGCACACAAATGACCCAGCAACCCAGTCGCCAAGCCAAGCCAGAAGCACATGCAGTACGAGTCTCTCTCTAGGTCACTATATATATTACTATATATACATTTATCATTTATGGTTTATGGTTTATGGAATATGGGGTGTTTTCTTGTGTTTGGGGGTGGCGTAGATAGGTGTGTGGGGTGGGGTGTGCGGAGAGGATTGCATGAGATGCGTGTATCTGTTTCTGTTGGGTTAGTTAAGCGCATAGAGATAACAGTAAGGCTTGGTAAATACCTGGTTCAGTCACTGTCCCACTCCCAATTGCAAGGGAAACGTCCAAAGAACGCTTCGTAACGCCCTAGTCCTCTATCTATCCCTAACGCTTGGTCGTAACCAGTTGTATATATAGAAACCGGATTGCTAAACACTGTAAAGATTATTGCGAAATTCCCCATTATATTCTAGGTAAATCAAAACCTAAGACTGACACAAACTGATCTTAAATGATCTTCAAAACTATGGATCTACTGCAAAATATAATAGAAGACTAATGATATAATTGATCTATTAACTATTAATACGAATATGACTTGCGTTAATATTTAATTACCACTCTTTAATATTTACTCAAACAGTTACTGATTCTTGCTTTTTTAATAACAATCGAAAGAAATCTGATGAATAAAATGTATATATATTTATTTTGAAAGTAAAAACTTCGCTTTCGTTTAAAATGATTAGTTTGTCAGACTTGAAAATAAACGTAAAATCTGTTAGAGTATAAAAACACTTCTTTCAAAGATCAAAATCAAAATCAAAAAGTTTAACCTAGTGTTTTCAAAACTTATGCAGATAACCTTTATGATACATCATAAGAATTAAAAAAAAAAATTGTTATCGTTCCGTCCGTCTGTCCCTTTTGAAGGACTGACCTTCGTGAAATCCTCGACGGATCTCAACCCAACTGGGTACACACATTGAGGGGGACACGTGTGTGTACACAGATATAAAAGATCGATATATAGTTATGGTACGAAAACGAGTATGTCTACGGAATGTGGAGTGGCACAATGGCGCCGTAGTGTTACTTTTTACGGGTCTATCAAGTGTTCGACTCACCTCAGCGCACTTGCTCTGCCAGCTCAGATACTGTTTCTTTTTAACTGTTTTCTGATACATATTATTTTGCAAAATTTTGTTAATGATTTTTTGTTTTTTTTTTGGGTACCTCGATGCTGCCGCCTTTCGCTGCGGCAGCTGCTGCTTACGGATTGTGAAGATTGAGGATTGCAGATGGGCGAGAGATTGTGTTCTTGATCATATTCAGTTGTGTGGTTTCGTTTAGGGGCTTTGGGAACTCCTGCTCCTGACTTTCAGCTTATTCTTCTACACGTCATTTACTTGTGGTTCTGGTATTTCACTTGGTTATTATTCTGTTTTTTTGGTCTCTAGTAGCGGCTGCGGCTCCGGCTACGGCAATGTCGCTCCCGGCTTTCGTGGCGGTAGTGATTATGGTTGTGATGGCTCCGGCTGCTCCGGTTGCCACTAACGCCACCCCCACCGCCACCGCCACCACTGTGCGAGTACGAATGGTGGGAGCTGTGGTGCGACTTATGGTGATCTGGAATAGAAAAGGCGGGGTTTTTAATAAAGCTCGAGTGCCGTGTGCAAGTGCAAGCGCGACCCCGGTCTCCAAAATGAAAGCGGGGAACTTACGGTGACGCCGATCCGAGGGCTGGCGATTCTGGACATAGTCGCGACTTCGTTCTCGGTACTCGTTGCGTGGCTCGCTATAGGATTCCAAAGAGAAAATAACAGATTAGATACTTTTACTTATAAAAATGCAATACTATGTGCAGCTAATGTATGACTATGACATCATATTGTCTTGCAAAGCATCTAGTCAACTTGATTTTAGTAACCAAGTGGTAAAATAAACGCAAAGTAAACAAACTTAGCAGCATTACTCATAGTCACATTGAACGGCATTCTGCCAATTTTGTTGTAATTAACTAGAAAAAGAAAAGAACGAATTCTTGTTTTCGATATTTCACCAAGGTATCTATAAGATGTGGGGTTAGACATGGCTAAGCACACTGCTGGATTAGCGGAAAAGGCAAAATGCCAACTGAGAGACAATGTAGCTAATAATCCGAAAATTCCGGGATGCTAAAAATATCTATCTTTCTAAAGAAATTCGTGTTTACATGGTACTACCTTCCAAAAGATTATCTATCTATTTTAAGGTTGGGTATCTTGAATCCTCACCGCCTGTTGTCGTAGGTGTGGAAGCGCTGAACTCGACCCTCGCGCCGACGTCGATCCTCCTGCTCGCGCTCCTTCTGGCGCGCATCGTTGATCTCGGCCACCGCGTTGCGCAGCTTGGAGTAGCCCAAATGCTGTTTGCCCATCAAATGGTCCTCGATCCGCTGCTGTGCATCGCCGACGATCAGGAAGGCGCCGCAGATCTCGCAGACTTTCATCTGTTTCTCGGGCAGCGAGTCATGCGACCAGCCAGCCGCCTTGTTCTCCGTCTTCTCCTCGCTGGTTGCTCCAGCTCCTTCGCCCTCTTGAGTAGGAGAGGTTCCTGCTGTTGCTACTGCAGAACTTGGAGCAGCCTCCAGAGCATCATCGGCGGTGGTGGCGGCAGCTGGAAGGGGGGTGTTTGGGGTTTCCTCGCTGGGATTTGTGCCCGGACTGTTGTGCAGCTCGTGCTCGGGTGACCTGCTCAAACTGAGGCTATTGAGGGCCTTGGTATGGGCCTCGAACTGCTGCAACAGTTGTTCCTTCTCCTCCTTCAGCTCCTCGCACAGGGTCATCAGATCCTGGGCCTGATCAACGTCCCCCCGAATGCCAGCTTCCTCCGCTTCGGAGAGCAGCTTGTTGATCCTGGCATTCAGGTTGACCAGCTGCTCCTGGTGCCTGCTCAGAGGAGCTGGAGCATTGGGCTGATCTTTCTGCATGAGGAGCAAACGCTGCTTGCCCTTTTGGATCTTTCGATCCACATCGTGCAGCATCACATTGCAAAAGCGCAGGAACTCATCCTCGTACTGACGCTTCCGTTGCGAGGGACGGGCGTCCTCGTACAGGTGACGAGCCTCCTCGTCGTGGATGCGGGCACAGGGACCCAGATCCGCGCGGGTATTTATGAATAGATCGTGCGGGCAGAACTTGACGTTGTAGAACTGACAAAACTGGGGGATACCAAGAAAAAAATGAGGGATTATTGGAGAGGTTATCCCACGATGTTAGCCTTCATCGTGCTCACCTCGGGATCCTCCCAATTGACTTTAGCGCCCGCCTCGGAGGGATGCAGGTTGCGATTCCTGCCCATCAGCTCGTCGAGCATTTGCCTGGCGGCGTCCACCATTTTCCGAGAAAAGGCGACACTTCTCTGTGATTTAAGGGGGCGCAACTCCTAGGGGGGCGGTGGTGCAAGTGGACCAAAGTGACTCCAGTGATTCCCGATTCCGGTGGCCCAGCACACCGACTTTCGTGGCCTGGACGGTGCCGGCGGACAGGTGCAGCCACTAAGCGCACGTGCAGCGGTTCGAAGCACGTTTTTTTTACCTGGTTAACCGAGAATTTCGCCAAAATCAATAAAATAAAATTATTTCACAGAATCCGTGGGCTATCGATATCTTTGCAGCGTTTTTTGGTCTTAAGCTATCGGGTTATCGTTCTTCGACGGCAGGAGGCGTTATTTTGGTGGACCTATCGGCATCAGCTGTTTAAAAAAGCTTTAATAATAAGAACTTTATAAAAAAGTATCAATATAAGCTCACCTCATTTAATTTAATAAAGATCTTGTATCCAGAATATCATATTTCGTTTATTTTATATAACCTTTATATCAATATCGTGCTCTGGTTTTGAACTACATATTTATAATTGTACTTAAGCTTTTGTTTTTTGAACTCCATGTTTGTTTTTCAGCTTAAAAATGTCAAAGCTTCTGAATTTGAAAAACACTTGAGTGACCAGAACTTTAAATCTAATGTCCGTATTTCAATGATCTCTTAAAATTTTACCAACTGTCAAATCTGGCAGTAGACCTTGATTTAATTTAAGGAGTAAAAACATAAGTGTATACCCATTTATAAGAAATTTATTAATTAACTAATATGTTGCACTTGGCATTACGATAATACCAAAAGCAAATCACGTATTCCGACAGATATAAAACTTCTCTCATTTTGAACGAGGAGTAAACTATAATTATCCAGTTAATTAAATCATAAATGCTATTAATGCCGGAGAACCTGGTGTAAGAAAGTGAATAAAATATAAAATTAGGGGATTTTAGGGTGACCGCAGATTTACGTTGACATTAACTTAGTGGCATCCCTGGTGGCCGGCGCTGCCACCCCCCGGCAACTGTCAGAAAAAGGCGCCAAAAATTTGCGAAGCACGCAGCTGTAAACATTAGCAAAACCGAGACGAAATTTAGCGCGTTAACTAGCGTTGCGTTTATTTACCAGTTCCAATCGAACAGTGACCCAAAATGGATGTAGCGGATGCTCAGGTCGGCCAGCTGCGCGTCAAGGACGAGGTGGGCATTCGGGCCCAGAAGCTCTTCCAGGATTTCCTCGAGGAGTTCAAGGAGGACGGTGAGATCAAGTACACGCGTCCGGCGGCCAGCCTGGAGTCCCCGGATCGCTGCACCCTGGAGGTCAGCTTCGAGGATGTGGAGAAGTACGACCAGAACCTGGCCACCGCCATCATCGAGGAGTACTACCACATCTATCCGTTCCTCTGCCAATCCGTTTCGAACTACGTGAAGGACCGGATTGGGCTGAAGACCCAGAAGGATTGCTATGTGGCCTTCACAGAGGTGCCCACGCGGCACAAGGTGCGCGATCTGACCACCTCCAAGATCGGCACTCTCATCCGCATATCCGGCCAGGTGGTGCGCACCCATCCCGTCCATCCGGAGCTAGTTTCCGGGGTGTTCATGTGCCTGGACTGCCAGACGGAGATCCGGAATGTGGAGCAGCAGTTCAAGTTCACCAATCCCACCATTTGCCGCAATCCCGTGTGCTCCAATCGCCGGCGCTTCATGCTGGATGTGGAGAAGAGTCTGTTCCTGGACTTCCAGAAGATTCGCATCCAGGAAACGCAGGCGGAGCTGCCTCGCGGTTGTATTCCCCGCGCAGTGGAGATCATTTTGCGTTCGGAGCTGGTGGAAACCGTTCAGGCTGGCGATCGCTATGACTTCACGGGTACTCTGATCGTGGTACCTGATGTAAGTGTCCTCGGAGGAGTGGGAACTCGGACGGAGACCAGTTCCCGGCACAAGCCAGGCGAGGGAATGGAGGGAGTGACTGGGCTAAAGGCGCTGGGCATGCGGGAGCTCACCTACAGGATGGCCTTCCTCGCTTGCAGCGTTCAGGCCACGACAGCCCGCTTTGGTGGCACCGATCTGCCCATGTCGGAGGTCACGGCGGAGGATATGAAGAAGCAAATGACGGACGCCGAGTGGCACAAGATCTACGAGATGTCCAAGGACCGCAATCTCTACCAGAACCTGATCAGCAGCCTGTTCCCCTCGATCTATGGCAATGATGAGGTCAAGCGGGGTATTCTCCTCCAGCAATTTGGCGGCGTTGCCAAGACCACCACCGAAAAGACTTCGCTGCGTGGTGACATCAATGTTTGCATCGTGGGCGATCCCAGCACGGCCAAGTCACAGTTCCTCAAGCAGGTCTCCGACTTCTCGCCTAGAGCCATCTACACGTCGGGAAAGGCTTCCTCGGCGGCGGGTTTAACGGCAGCTGTCGTGCGCGATGAGGAGTCCTTTGACTTCGTCATCGAGGCGGGAGCCCTCATGTTGGCGGACAATGGCATTTGCTGCATCGACGAGTTCGACAAGATGGACCAGCGCGATCAGGTGGCCATCCACGAGGCCATGGAGCAGCAGACCATCTCGATAGCTCGCGCTGGAGTCCGAGCTACTCTAAATGCGCGCACCTCCATTCTGGCCGCCGCCAATCCCATCAACGGACGCTACGATCGTTCCAAGAGTCTGCAGCAGAATATCCAGCTGTCCGCACCCATTATGTCGCGTTTCGATCTGTTCTTCATCCTCGTGGACGAATGCAACGAGGTGGTGGACTATGCCATTGCCCGCAAGATCGTCGATTTGCACTCGAACATCGAGGAGTCGGTGGAGCGGGCCTATACCCGCGAAGAGGTCCTCCGCTATGTGACTTTTGCGCGGCAATTTAAGCCGGTGATTGGCCAGGAGGCCGGCAAGATGCTGGTGGAGAACTACGGACATCTGCGGCAGCGCGACACGGGCACCTCGGGTAGGAGCACCTGGAGGATCACGGTGCGTCAGCTTGAGTCCATGATTCGTCTGAGCGAGGCCATGGCCAAGCTGGAGTGCTCCAATCGCGTGCTTGAGCGCCACGTCAAGGAGGCCTTCCGCTTGCTGAACAAGTCCATCATTCGGGTGGAGCAACCGGACATTCATCTGGACGACGACGAGGGTCTGGATGTGGACGATGGCATCCAGCACGACATTGACATGGAGAACAACGGAGCGGCGGCCAATATTGATGAGAGCATGGACAACTCCGGCAGCGCCGCTGTGCAAAAGAAGAAGTTCACGCTGTCCTTCGAGGACTACAAGAATCTTTCCACCATGCTGGTGCTGCACATGCGCGGCGAGGAGGCGCGCTGCGAGGTGGAGGGCAGCGATACGGGCATCAAGCGCAGCGATGTGGTCACCTGGTATCTGGAGCAGGTGGCCGAGCAGATCGAGTCCGAGGATGAGCTGATCTCGCGCAAGAACCTCATCGAGAAGCTGATCGATCGGCTCATCTACCACGACCAGGTCATTATTCCGCTCAAGACCTCCCAGCTGAAGCCGATGATCAAGGGACAGAGCACGGAGGATGAGCAAACGGAGGACGATCCCCTGCTGGTGGTGCACCCCAACTACATTGTGGAGTGATCAAGGCCGGACAGCAGTTTTTTACACCCTAATCTACCTAGTTAAGTTTCTGTTTCCACAACCTTGATTTTTTTGCTCACCTAATCACTGTATTTAGCTGTAAGTCTAGAGTTTAAAGCGCATTAAGGATTCGTAGACCCCTTAGCGGTCAAATCATTCATGTTTTCGCCAAAATAAACGTTCATCTCAAGTTTAAGCTGGTTTCTTCACACTTTCACCGGGTAGATGCAGTGGTTTCCTTTATTTTCGGGACCATAATCATTGTTTAGCACAATCCTAAGACGATTTTGAATTGAGAGGTCAGGTTACGCTCCAAGATCTCTTTGCATTCGCCGAAATAAACGCTCATCTCAAGTTCAGCTTGGTTTCTTTTCATTTTAATTGTACAGATGCGTTGATTAATTGCCTATGAAATAAAAACGAGGCCCGCAGAGCGATCGAGAGGAGAATGCTGTTGTTGTCTACTTCTCGAAGGTGTAGTGCTTGACGCCATCGCCGGGATATTGCTTGGCGGCCACGGGGCGGTACATCTTCTTGTCTTCCAGCCAGTAGTAGAGGGCCAGGCAGCCGGACATGACGCCCAGGAAGCAGACGAAGTAGTACGAGTTGTTGTAGCGCGGCTGTTCCGCCTGCGACCAGCGATCCTCGCTGTACAGATCGTGATCCGCCGAGATCTAGAGTGGGAACAGAGTGCAGATTGAATGGAGATCTATGGAGCTAGCTAGCGGGTGGTCCTCTTACGGGCTCGTGGTGGTTACGCTTGTGCTCCGGATAGTCCCAGGGATAGTAGGTGTCCTTGGCCTCAACGCCCAGACCGCCGCCCACTTTGGGATAGTCGCCATAGCCCAGGCCGTCGTCCGCATACGGTTTGTACTCCTCCGGCAGGAGGTAGTACTTCTTGGCCGCCGCCAGGCGCTCCTTCTCCGTCTGTGGATAGGGTGCCGGCTTGTAGTCCTTGTTCCAGCCAGCCACTAGAAAGAGAAAAACGAGTTTTTAGCTCGGCCCAGGCAAAAGTTACGTAAACAAGAGGTAAACAGTGGTGCAGGTTCGCCGGATTCCTGCTCCGCCGCCATGGCACTTACTGCTGCGGATCGCCTGGCGAGCCACGGCGGGATTGGCGGCGCACAGCTTTTGGGCCAGGCCCACGGTTTTCACAAACGCCGACATTGCAGGCTCGCTTCAAAGTTCCCGAATTTATTTCCGATTTCAGTAGAAACAGCTGTTGGCCTGCGAACTAATCGATGGGTTATCGTTGTCGCGTTGCCCGCTATCGATAGTTGGCAAGCGATAGTAGCAGTGTGCAAAAATTATTGACGAAATTGCAATACTCAAGCTTGCTAATTTTGAAACAGTGAAAGGTTTGTTTCCTCACAGTAAAAGCTGGGAGCTCTTAGGTATTTCCGTAAAAGGTATGTGTGAATTTCACAATTTTCCAAAGCTTGTTATCTATTTGATGTATTACAATATTAAAATCGTATTTTGATTAGTACTTAACCCTTTCCTTTAATGATTTTTTCAATCTCAATATTGTTCTATATAAATTTAGCAATCATCGATAACAACTATCGATAGGCGAAAGTCTGCACCCGCGCATCGAAGCTTTGTTGTTGTTTTTGTTGGTGTTGTTGTGGTGGGCTCGTCCGTGAAAGATCACTTGGCAAACTTATTTATTTTGTTAATTACCCATTAAGAAATAAGCATAAAGATGGTGCTACCGTTATTGCAGCGCTCCTCGCTTCGCGGCGTTCAGCAAATTACGAAGCCCTGGGCTGCCATTGGAAGTTTGCGTCTGGTAAGGATTTCAAATGAATATTGGATATATTTTCCTTCGATATGGCCAATATCGCGCCTTATGTAATGCTTGTTTCGCCCATCAACCGCCTGTAACTCCAGAAAATGCATTTATTTGTAAACAAAACGAGGCGAAAATAAGTGCAAAGGGAAACGCATAAAAAAAGCCGGCGTTTCGTAATCATTATACAATGGAAAATGGAAGTGACCGCCTTCCAGCAGTCAGTCACTGGAAACTTCTTGTACAACTACAACTTCGACCACTTGTGGACCGACTCCAATTGGACTTTCGGCTGGCCTTCCAATTGGAAGCCGCTGCATTGATTTTTTCACTCAATTTTTCTCAGGTTTTGTTTTTTTTGTAATTCGCACTCAAATCACATGATAAAAGCGAACAAAACAAACTCACACCGCGAAAAAAACTCGCGAAACGAGTTGTAATTCAAGAAATTGTGCTGCTCAGCAAATTCTTGTTTTCGGCAATTGAATTAAAACCGGTTAACTTATAAATATTCGTAGGCATGGTAATATCCATTTGCCGACCACTGTAATACACTCCCTGTTGTTCAGATAACTACTTATATATGGTACCAGATAGTAGGGACGGTCGGGCATAAATTACACTCATAAATCCAAGGAAAGTGATACCATCACACATTGCTGGTGAAAATATTAGCACTAGGAATCCAAAAGATAAAGAGTTATTCAAATTCTCATATTTTTGTTTATTCCAGATACGATTGTATTTTAAAACATTTTCGAATATACATATGATTCATAGGATGGTTCATGCCATTGAGTGCATTTGTTTTAACAAAGATTGTATTTTAAGTAATATATTTCATATTATACTACTCCAAATTAACGAGCCCTGAAAATGTTCCATACATACAGTAAATTAAAACAAGTCGATCAAGAGTTTCCTAATAAAAATTAAGTTAGAATGGTTAGGATAGGCACCAGAATATACTTTGTGGTTCCTTGTAGATTGTATATTTATGATATATTTTGAGCTGCGAGTGTTATTTTTGTGGCCCGTTCTGTTTCCTGAGTGCCAAAGCGCTGCTGATTAGCAAAGCACCCCATGCCAAGTAGGGTCTTCAGTGCCTAGTCTTCGGTCCCCTCGAGAACAGCCCCCTTTTTTTACACCTCCACAGTTCCAATTTGTTTTTTGTTGAGAGCGCTCTTTCAAGAATCTGTTCGCCGTTCACTCGGGGCTTAGATTTATTTCACTTTATAGAGTAGAGGCGCCCGGTCTTATCGGTCTCAGTTAACTTCGAGCAGCAGCCGTCGTCGAGTGTTCGTCCTCTGGTTTCTAGCTTGTGATTTCCCAGCTCAGATTGCACCCAACTTATCTCTCATCTACCATCTATCTCACTTGAAATGGTCAGATGGGTCCCCTCCATATATTCTTCGTATACCCCGGTCTTAATCTGATATTTTTCCCGCAGGCCTCCCAGGAATTTCGCGTGGAGAGCGACACCTTTGGTGAGCTGAAGGTTCCCGCGGACAAATACTATGGCGCCCAGACGATGCGATCCCAGATCAACTTCCCCATCGGAGGGGCCACCGAACGGATGCCCGTGAGTAATACCCCCTAGTAATTCCCATCGTAAATCCCGAGGAGTAATTAACTCACGTCGTTTATATAATTAAAAGTTAGTTGCTAAAGCTTTGGGTAAATAATGACAATGGAACCCAGTCTCTATATCGTCACTTATTAGAATTTATTGGCCTTCCTTTTTAGACTTTATGTGGAAAAACACAAGTACCAATCATTTTAATTAACTTTTCAATGACTTCATATCTTTTGAATAATAGCCTCTTAACTAATTTGCTATATAGGGTTTTCTGAAAATTATTTGTAAAATATATGAAAATATAAACAAGTTTCCAATTGATAGATTTAGTATACTCAGTTCTTTATTTTCGATTTAATGTTCAAGGTTCAAAAAGTAGCGAGGTTTAGCTAATTACCAAGTATAATAAAGTTGAAACTTGGCTTTGCTTACGGAAAACAAAGAAAATACATTTGTACATTCGATATTAATGTAATTTTTCAAGGCTTAGAAAAGATGCAATGCATTGTAAATTATAGAAAATGGATTCAAATGCATCGATTGAGTTTAAGAATACCAAAGTATTTCATAGAAAATAAAAAAGTGGAGAAGAGAACTAGAACCATCTAAAAATTCAGGAATGAGTGCTTAAATGGGAGTAATATGATCGAGCCCAGCGGAAATGGTACTTTATAATACTTTAGAAAATAAAAAGTTGAGCAAATTATTGGAACCATCTTTAACTTCAGGAATTAGTGCTTAACTAGAGAATAATATGATCGAGCCCCTCGGAAAATGGTACTATATTAGCTTTAACTCTTTAAAAAACATATATAGTATCATATAATTAAAATTCTCATCTCTCCCCCCCCAGAAACCCGTGGTGCAGGCCATGGGTATCCTGAAGAAGGCCGCCGCCGAGGTGAACAAGGAGTTCGGACTGGACAGCAAGGTGAGCGACGCGATCTCGAAGGCGGCCGACGATGTGATCTCCGGCAAGCTGTACGCCGACCACTTCCCGCTGGTCATCTGGCAGACGGGTTCCGGCACCCAGAGCAACATGAATGTGAATGAGGTGGGTTGGGACTCATTTCCTTGATCGCCAACTTCCTTATAACTGTACATTGCCCGCCAACCAGGTCATCAGCAACCGCGCCATCGAGCTGCTGGGCGGCAAGCTGGGCTCCAAGACGCCCGTGCATCCCAACGACCACGTGAACAAGTCGCAGAGCTCCAACGACACCTTCCCCACCGCCATCCACATCTCGGTGGCCCTGCAGCTGAACAACAACCTCAAGCCGGCGATCAAGACGCTGCACGACGCCCTGCGGGCCAAGTCGGAGGAGTTCAAGGACATCATCAAGATCGGACGCACCCACACCATGGACGCGGTGCCCCTGACCCTAGGTCAGGAGTTCAGCGGCTATGCCCAGCAGCTGGCCTACGCCCAGGAGCGGATCGATGCCTGTCTGCCGCGTGTCTACGAGCTGGCTCTGGGCGGCACTGCCGTGGGAACTGGACTGAATACCCGCAAGGGATTCGCCGAGAAGTGTGCGGCCAAGATTGCCGAGCTGACCAACCTGCCATTCGTCACCGCGCCCAACAAGTTCGAGGCTCTGGCTGCCCGTGATGCCATGGTGGAGGTCCACGGTGTGCTCAATACGATCGCCGTCAGCCTGATGAAGATCGCCAACGACATCCGCTTCCTGGGCTCCGGTCCGCGATGCGGCCTGGGCGAGCTTTCGCTGCCGGAGAACGAGCCCGGCAGCTCCATCATGCCCGGCAAGGTGAACCCCACGCAGTGCGAGTCGCTCACCATGCTCTCCGCCCAGGTGATGGGCAACCAGGTGGCCGTGACCATCGGCGGCTCCAACGGACACTTCGAGCTGAACGTGTTCAAGCCCCTGATCGTGTCCAATGTGCTGCGCTCCATTCGCCTATTGTGTAAGCTTGGCAGATGAAGGGTTTTGATTGTGCGGCTACTACATTCTTATATTCCCTTTTTAGCTGACGGCAGCAGGACCTTCACTGCCAACTGCGTGAGTGGCATCCAGGCCAACCGCGAGAACATTGCCAAGATCATGAACGAGTCCCTGATGCTGGTCACCGCCCTGAATCCCCACATTGGCTACGACAAGGCCGCCAAGATCGCCAAGACGGCGCACAAGAACGGAACGACCCTCAAGGAGGAGGCCATCAACCTGGGCTACCTCACGGAGGAGCAGTTCAAGGAGTGGGTGCGGCCCGAACAGATGCTGGGACCCAAGTAGAGCAGTAGGCAGTAGGCCAACCTGCCGCCGTCTGACCCCAAAACTCACCCATCGCTGTCATCGGAATATCATAATTGTCGGTTTTCCAAGCTAATCGGGCTTAGTTCGTTTGTATATGAATCGCTCGGAATCGCAGATCAATAATAACTGAAAATGCTGAAGCAAATGAATAGCCTGATCCTGGCCAGACGCCATCTCTGGGTGGCTGGCGGTGGCCTGCGGGCCAAGGAAGTGAGTAGAGTTGGTATGTGGGGTTCTAGTCTCTAGAAGGAACGCTTTTCCAGGGCGACAAGGGCAAGGGCAAGGGGAAGGGCAAGGAGAACGAGAAGTTCCGCACGGAGAAGGACACCTTCGGGGAGCTCAAGGTGCCGGCGGACAAGCTTTATGGGGCCCAGACGATGCGCTCTAAGCTGAACTTTCCCATTGGCGACATAGCCGAGCGCATGCCGGTAGGGATTATCCAGCTATTAAAAGCCCTCCTCCTTAACTTAATCCCCCACTGCACGCAGATGCCTGTGATCCAGGCCATGGGCATACTGAAGAAGGCCTGTGCCGAGGTCAACAAGGAGTTCGGCCTGGACGGTAAGATCTCGGACGCCGTCTCCTGCGCCTGCGACGATGTGATCTCCGGCAAGCTGTACAAGCAGGGTCACTTCCCGCTGGTCATCTGGCAAACTGGTTCCGGCACCCAGTCCAATATGAACACCAACGAGGTGAGATTGAGTGGGGAGAAGGTAAAAGTGTTATAGTACTAGGTATTATGGGTACTTTGAGGCCGAGTATTGCCAAATCCTCTACTAGGATAGTTGGTTTTTTGTTTATTCAAAATAGTTTCCATAGTATATTAAATTAGGACGAATTTATCACTTCAATTTTATTTTCCAGCATTTTTTTAGAATTTTGAAATAAATTGCAAGAAATTTGTAAAAATTATTTTAAAACAGATGGTATTCGTTAGCTAAGATTCTATATCGATACAAAACCGTCATTATTTTATTTTTGGATTTAATTATCATGAAGTTTTTGCCAAAAAATTTATTCAAATATGTAAATTTTTGAAAATATTTTTCAACAAAATCAAGTGTTGTAAAGTGCTTTATTTTAAATAAGTTCTGTAAAAAGGTAATTCACATGAAACATGATTTTTGACATTTACTAAATGTATATTAATAGGTGGGATTATAAACGAAATATAATAGCCTAGCTTTTTAGCATATTTTTTTATTACTACGCAGGTGATCAGCAATGCGGCCATCAAGATGATGGGTGGCGAACTGGGCAGCAAGAAGCCGGTGCATCCGAACGACCATGTGAACAAGTCGCAGAGCTCCAACGACACCTTTCCCACGGCCATCCACATCTCGGTGGGCATGGAGCTGAACGAGCGACTGGTTCCGTCGGTGACCCACCTGCGGGATGCCCTCAAGTCCAAGTCGGATGAGTTCAAGGACATCATCAAGATTGGCCGCACCCATCTGATGGACGCAGTTCCTCTGACCCTGGGCCAGGAGTTCAGTGGCTACGCACAGCAGCTGACCTACGGCCTGGACAGGATCAAGACCTGTCTGCCGAGGGTCTACGAGCTGGCTTTGGGCGGCACTGCGGTGGGCACTGGCCTGAACACCCACAAGGGATTCGCCGAGAAGGTGGCCAAGCGGATTGCCGAGCTCACCTGTCTGCCCTTTGTGACGGCGCCCAATAAGTTCGAGGCCCTGGCCGCCAGGGATGCCATGGTGGAGGTCCATGGGGTGCTCAACACGATCGCCGTGAGCCTGATGAAGATCGCCAACGATATCCGACTGCTGGGATCGGGTCCCCGTTGCGGACTGGGGGAGCTCATGTTGCCGGAGAACGAGCCCGGTAGCTCCATCATGCCCGGCAAGGTGAATCCCACGCAGTGCGAATCGATGACCATGCTGTGCGCCCAGGTGATGGGCAACCAGGTGGCCGTGACCATCGGTGGCTCCAACGGGCACTTCGAGTTGAATGTCTTTAAACCATTGATAATATCGAATGTGCTGCGCTCCATCCGGCTGTTAGGTGAATTTTAATGGTTTTTGTCGAGGATCCGCCTTACTGGGATCATCCTGTTTATCCACAGCCGACGGCAGCATGACCTTCAGCAAGAACTGCGTGGAGGGACTGCAGGCCAATAAAGAGAGGATCGACAAGATCATGAACGAGTCGCTGATGCTGGTCACCGCCCTGAATCCCCACATCGGCTACGACAAGTCCGCCCAGATCGCGAAGACGGCCCACAAGAACAAGACGACCCTGAAGGAGGAGGCCTTGAAAACCGGAATCACCGAGGAGCAGTTCAAGGAGTGGGTCAACCCCAAGGAGATGCTGGGACCCAAGTGATCCTCGTCTTAGTTACTATTGATGTTGTTAGCTGGATGTAATAAATTTGCCATGTTTAAAGATTATTAAAAGTATAGAAACTTTTGTTTTTTTTTTACAAAGACTTAATGTATTTTTCATCAAAAAGTAACGGCTATTTGGCTTTCAAATTTTAAATGGTTCGAGTCCCAGCTAAACGCCACCGGTTAGGGTCACCGTTATCGATTTTTGAAACCGCAATATACCATAAATCGTAGTGGTCACACTGGCGCCTTGCTGTTTTTAACTTTTTCTTTGTTTTTATCGTAAATTCCAGCGTAATTAGCTGCCGTTTTTAAGCGGAATATAAACAGAAAAAGCAGATAAACAAGTGTTCATTTCAGTGGCCTTTTTCCTGATCGAAGAAATTCGAGCTGGAATCGATTATCTAACGACAAAATCGAAACGAGCGTTGGAGTAGGCGCAGATAAAAAGAATAAGGCAACCAGGCAAGTTGGCTCTCGTAAATTATCCGTTCTGACCAGTTTAAAAAAAGAGCAAAATCAGTGTAGCCCACACAGGCATCGAAAAGGCGATATATCTTTCGAGACAGAGAAAAACCAACCTTTTGGATCCGCGGATTTTGCCTTGTAGTTGCACCACCACCCACTCTGCAACCCGCCCCCTGCAGCTGCACCGCCCACTTCCAACACCCACAAACAAAAAATTTATATTTACGACGCAAAAACAAAACAATCGAATTGAAACCAGCTGTTTGGTTATCGATCGACGGTATCGATCACACACACATGAGCAACGTTGGCGAAGAAGAAGAGTCATCCAGAGTTGAGCACCAAGAAACCTAAAAAATAAGGTAATTTCAAGCATAAACTAATTAGATGGTTAACTTAGAGGGGCTTTCGGTTGCAGGCACTTGAGCCGAGGTCTTTGTGGGCCGAAAGATGTCTGTGAGACTGCTGACCGTGCGACTGATCAAACATGGTCGCTACATTTTGCGCAGCTATTGTAAACGTGATATACACGCCAACATTTTGGACCAGAATCAATTGAAGACAAGAAGCAAGCGAGGCTTTCCCCTACCCTCCACCGCCGCCCATGTGCTGCGGGTGAGTAGCTATAGATTCCCTTCGGTAAACAGCCTTTTATGCCACCCCAATCCCCACCAGACAACGCCCCAGCAGGCGGCCAAATCGGTGGTCAATGTAGTGCCCCGCACCACCACTTCCCCGGCGGGAACACCACTGAGCGCCAGCTCGCCCAGCAGCAGTGGTCTCTTCCGAGTGGGCCAACATGCCCGCAAACTCTTCATCGACAACATCCTCAGCCGGGTGACCACCACCTACTCGGAGGATCTGCGCCAGCGGGCCACCCGCAAGCTCTTCTTCGGCGATTCCGCCCCATTCTTCGCCCTCATCGGCGTTAGTCTGGCCTCCGGATCGGGTGTCCTCAGCAAAGAGGATGAACTGGAGGGCGTGTGCTGGGAGATTCGGGAGGCAGCTGGCCGGCTGCAGAGAGCCTGGAACCAGGACGAAATCTCCGAGACGCTGGACAGCAAGTTCAGCATAGATAACTTGGAAATCGGGCCACCCATTGCCAAAGGTTGTGCCGCTGTCGTCTACGCAGCGGGCTTTAAGAAGGATGGAGCCTCAGAGACATCCGTCCATCCCGATACTGAGCCGTCACAGGCCACTCCTGCCTTTGCGCCGAATAGCTGGAGTGCCCACGAGATGATGTCGCCGCTGCAGAACATGTCGCGCTTTGTCCACAACTTTGGCGGCTCCGTGGACAATATCTTCCACTACAGCCAGCCCTCAGCGGCCAGTGACTTTGTGGGCGCCCAGGAGAGGGAGCAGGAGCAGCAGCAGCAGCAGGACCTGGATCCCAAAAGCAGTGCCTTCAATGTGGTAAATAAAAATCTATAACCAGCCTTGGTTTAGATACTCATCCTGCCTTTACTTGCAGAATTCCTCAGCGAATCCCAAGATAAACAGCTCTGTGGACCGCTATCCGCTGGCCCTGAAAATGATGTTTAACTACGACATCCAGAGCAACGCCTTGTCCATCCTGCGTGCCATGTACAAGGAGACAGTGCCGGCCCGTCAGCGGGGCATGAACGAGGCCTCCGATGAGTGGGAACGCTTGCTGCAGAACCAGACGGTCGCCCTGCCGCCGCACCCCAACATAGTCTGCATGTTCGGTTTCTTTTGCGATGAGGTGCGCAACTTTCCCGACGGTCACCTCTTGTACCCGGTCGCGCAGCCGCAAAGGATAAATCCGCAGGGCTACGGGCGCAACATGTCGCTGTATCTGCTGATGAAGCGCTACGACCACAGCCTGCGCGGCCTGCTCGACAACCAGGAGCTGGACACGCGCACACGCATCCTGCTGCTGGCCCAAATGCTCGAGGCTGTCAACCACCTGAGTCGCCACGGAGTGGCCCATCGAGATCTCAAGTCGGACAACGTGCTTATCGAGCTGCAGGACGATGCCTCGCCGGTGCTGGTGCTCTCGGACTTCGGCTGCTGCCTGGCGGACAAGGTGCACGGCCTGCGCCTGCCGTATGTGTCGCACGACGTGGACAAGGGCGGCAATGCGGCGCTGATGGCACCGGAGATCTTCAACACGATGCCCGGCCCGTTTGCCGTGCTCAACTACGGCAAAGCGGATCTGTGGGCATGTGGTGCTCTGGCCTACGAGATCTTCGGCAGCCACAATCCCTTCTACTCGAGCAGCGGCGGCCTGGCACGCGAGCGCGGCGAGCTGACGCTGTCACTGAGGAACAGTGATTACCGGCAGGAGCAGCTGCCACCGATGAGCGATGCCTGCCCGCCGCTGTTGCAGGAGCTGGTCTACAACATCCTCAATCCCAACCCGTCCAAGCGGGTCAGTCCGGATATTGCGGCAAATGTGGTGCAGCTGTTCCTGTGGGCCCCGTCCAATTGGCTGAAGGCGGGTGGCATGCCCAACAGCTCCGAGGTGGGTGCCTAACCAGATAGTCTCTTTGTTTATATTGCTAATTATATGTCCCATTCGCAGATCCTCCAGTGGCTGCTTTCGCTGACCACCAAGATAATGTGCGAGGGTCGTCCGCAGCTGGGCGCGGGACCGCTGCCGATGCCAGTGGCCACCAACGGACGACGCGCCTACGTGGAGTACCTGCTTATCTGCAGTTTCCTGGCACGCGCCCGGCTGCGTCGCATTCGCGGGGCCCTCAACTGGATCCAGAATACGGTGGCGTAGGCTATTGGCCCCGGGATATCTACTTGTTACCCTGAGAAAATCAAATGGAAAAGCGTGTGATACCTATATTTTACATATGTATTTATAAAACAAGTTAAAAATTAACCGCATGCTCTCCGCACAATTGTCTATTGCTCCTGGAGATCCTCCAGTTCCTGGTTCAACAGCTGCTCCTCGGCCAGTGCGTCCTCGTATTCGCCCTGTACACGCAGGATGAGCTCGCTGATGGCCAGTGGCACCTCCATCGAGTCGCCAGAGCCGTTCCTCAAGTCATCAATCAAAATCTGGACAATCTGGCTCATCTCCTTAATGCTCCTGCGTGCCCGCTCTAAACGCTCCTCGAGATCGGCGTCCATATCTCGGTTGGCTGGGTTTACTTGGGGATGCTGCGGGGATTAAAAGTGCGCTATATAAAATGGCTTAAAGACTTAGATTAGCAATTACCATGACTAGAATTTCTTAAATTAATTTTTTGTTCGGCAAATTCGAATGTCTTTTTGACAGTACGCTAACAGCGATAACGATTACTCCTGTCAGGGCTTCAGTAGTTTTCGAATGTTATCGATTGCCATCAGGGCTGACGAAATATAAAATTTTTAAAAACATTCAATTTTTGAAAATATTTTTCGTAAATTGTTGAAATAATGCAACATTCTACTTATTTTCATTAAAACATAGTTTTTAATTAATACAAAATAAATTAATTTACAAAACAAAACATTCCTCCCAGGGCACTTATGATTTCAGATGTTATCGATAGCCGTCAGGCTGATAAAATTTCAAAATAAATTAAACTAAAAATGGGTTTCTCAAAATTTCGCTTAAGTTATTAAAATATAGCGACTTTCTATTTAATTGCACAAAACGCATTATTTTAAAATGAATTTTAGTTTATTTACAAAACAATTCTGCCAGGTCTTTCGCGATTTCAAAATGGTATCAACTGCCTTCAGGAATGACAAAATTTCAAAAAATACATGTTTTTGATATAATTTTGTTTAAATTGTTGAAATAATGCGACTTCATATTTCATTGCATCAATATTTATTACAAAAAAACATTTTAGTTATTTTACAAAACAAAACATTTGTTTTAAGTCTACGCTTATATCAATTTAAAGTACAGAAAATCAAAACTTATTTGCTAATCTCCACGCGACTGACGCACAACTTGTGATCGTAGAAGGAACAGGTGGCCATGGTCAACGATCCATCATTGTTCCCAAAAGGAGCCCAATCGGCGCCGTAGCAAATGCTCTTGTGCTCCTCATAGGCGCCCAGCAAACTCAAGCCAGGCGCACTGGCATCCAGCTGCACCACGCTGAAGTTGGTGTACATGCAGGCGGCCAGGATGAGATCGGGATGAAGGGGATGCGGCTTCAGCCGCCAGATGCCTCCGCCCAGGTCCAGCTCCGCCAGAGTTCGCTTTATGGACCGGGTATCGAACAAACGCAGCTGCTCATCATAGCTGCCCGTGAGCAGATGGTGCTCGTGCCTCGGATGACTTAGCAGGCAGGTCACTCCGGCCATGTGTGCCCGGTTTGTCCAGGCTCTCTGCTCCGTCCGCAAATCGTGGGCCATCAGGAGCATATCGTCGCCACCGCTGTACAAAAGATGCGGTGACCAGCGATCAAAGGCGCAGGTCCAGGCTTCAAAGCCATGAGATGACCAGGACCGCTCCCGGCTAATCACGCCCTGTGGCGAGTACTTCAGTAGATGCAGATCACCCTTGGAATCCGAGATGGCCAGTTGAATGGTCTGCTCCTCATCCCGACGCCAGTCCAGGGCCAGAGCCAAGGGGGATTCCTCCTGCGACTCCTCCTCCGCAAGGCAAAAGCACGTGCGTTTCTGTAGCTTCTGCTCATCCCTTAGGAATTCATAGATTTCCAGCTGTCCCAATGAGTTGACCGTGGCCAGGTGGGGATGACCATCACCGCCCCCGGCTGGCAGCCACTTCATGTCCAGTATGGCCGCCGTTTCGATGCACTGCAGCCGCTCCAGGCTGGAATCTGGGTCTCCGAAATGGTATAAATAAACGCGGCCTTTGCGGGGACGCTTGGGGGAGGCCTCCTGCTCCTCCGGTTCCCCCTCATCCTGGACCAACTGGTAGGTGCCGCAGGCAAAGAAGCTTCTTTCCGGATCATCCTGCGGCAGCCACTCCACGGAATCCGCCGAGTATTCCGTATCTTCGCTGTGAAGCGTTGTAAACATGTTTATAATCAGCTGCTGTCAGCTATCGATAGTTGATAGCTTCCGCCAGGGCTTCCTTCGATAAGTCCCTGCCAATCGACCGTTCCTTTTTAATCTTATTAGATTTATTTGTTATTTTCGCTTTTTTGCTAATTTAAAAAATTAATAGTTAATACATATAACTACTTAGTGCTCTGTTTACGCGCTACATATTCTGGATTAGGTTTAGTTGATCTCGTCCCTCGCTCGTAGTTTTTAGCTGCACTTCCTCGATTTTCAGTGGTTTTTGGGGCGTCACAGTGTAATTTTTCTTTTTTTTTTTCGGGGGGCTTTAGGGGCTGCCAGGCATCCTTCTTATTGCACTCGATCCTTGATCTCCGCTTACGATCACTTTTTACAAAATCTATCTTTCAAGTACCTCGCGACACATATTAAAAAACATATTTAAAAAAAACTCTTATTGATAACTATAGACAATCCCTACTCATCGCAGATCTCTCCTTCGTTTGTGCGTCCAACGCCTGATGGTGTTCTCTTGGTTTCTTGGCGTTTATGGCGGCCTGGCTACCACCACATCATCCACTCATCCCCACTAGCGGTTGGTGCTGCGACTGTGACGCCTCCGCGATCCTCATTTGGTCTTCATCACAATGATGGGCTCGAGTATCTTCAACATGTCATTGTTCTCGGGTGCTCCGGTTCCATTGCCGCCGCCAGAGCCAGGAGCTCCTCCCCCTCCGCCGGCCGCATTGCCATAATCCTTGACCACCTGCAGTTTGCTGAAGCCGGGATGTGGCTGCTGCTGCTGCTGATGGAGCTGCTGCTGCTGGTGCTGACTGATGGTCACCAGGCGGTGCTGCTGGTTAAGCACAATCGCCTCGTGATGCGGATGCTGCACCAACTGCTGCTGCTGCTGCTGCAGGCTGCCGGCAATCTGTTGCAACTCGTGCTGCTGCAACTGCAATGCCGGCAACTGCTCGTGGTCATCGGAACCATCGCCGCCGCCGCCTCCGTCCAGGGGGGAATCGTCGTCATCAGCCTTGACCACCGTGACGAAGCCACCATCGCTGCCCGTGCCCGTGACCGAAACGGCTTCGCTTTCATACAACTGCTGCTCGGCGCTGATGTCCTCGTCCTCATCCTCATCCTCCTCCTCGGTCTTGGCCCGGAACTCGGTGCTGGTGGCACTGCTACTGCGCGGCGTATGGCTGCGCATGCGTCGCATTCGGGCGTATTCCGCCTGCTTGGACAGCCGCTCCTTGCGCTCGTCCGTATTCTCGGTGGCCCGGATTTGCGCCCGCTTCAGTCGCGCCCGCTCGCTCAGCTTCTGTAGACGCGTGGCCCGCTGCTCGGGCGTCTCATTGGCACGCACCGCCCGCTGGTGGGCGGCCATCTTGTCCAGGCGCAGTCGCTTCTCCTCCTCCGTCTCGTATTTGTTCGCACCGCTGCGTCGCGGCGTCGACACCGGCGTTCGACTGTCGCCATCGGCCGTGGAATGTACATGAATCTGACTCAGCTGAAGCTGCTCATGATGCTGCTGGGATGTCTGCGATAGTGGCCTGCCGCGACGCGGCGTACTGGTGGCCAGCTGCGGCACGGACAGCATCTGGTTGAGCTCCTGCTCCAGTAGGCTGTTGACCTTCAGCTGCTCTTCGCTGGCCAGCGGATTCTTACGTGGCCTGCCCCTGCCGACAGTGGCGGTGACAATCTGTGGCGTCGTCGTCGTCGCTGCCGCCGCCGCCGGCTCCTGGTGTCCACCCAATCCGGTGACCGTAAGCGTTGGATTCGCCGCCAATATGTTGTACTGGCCACCGGACGGGCTGTTCGCGCCACTGGCGTTGGCAAAGTTGACGGGCGTGAAGGGCGGCGGCACTGGATTCGGTCCGATGCCAATCTGGAAGCCGTTGTGATACATCGGATAGTAGGCGGTGGTGGTGGTGCCACCCGCTCCCGTTGTCGTGCCCGCCGTCACGACGCCCACGTGGCCGACATTGGTGGTACTGGTGGTGCTGTTGCTGCTGCTGGTGGTGTTGGGGAAGGTGTGGGCCAGGTAGGGGAACTGGTTGTACAGCTGCTGCGCCTGGCCGGGCGTCGCCTTGAGGAGCTTCTGCTCCCCGCTGGCGGTCGTCACGATCACCTTGGTCTCGTTGTGGCCCAGGCTAACAGACCCGCTGTTATCGTTGCCGCCCGCTGATCCCGGAGCATCGCTGTCCGACTGCAAGAAGGGTAAAGGAGTGGAAAGCCAACGGGTGAGTCGGTTTGGTTTGGGTTAGGGCTTCTTTTTTTTCTAAGGAGTACAGAAGTCTCTAATAATTAATTGTAAATCTCAATTTAAAATAAGACAGCTTTCTGAGATTGAAAATGGGTTTATGGATGGGTTTCTGAAAAGGAGCGAGTGAGTATGATGGTGCAACAGAGATAGAATGGGGACACACACACCGCACACAAGCCTCATTTCGATTTATAGCAAATTAAAACCAATTTTAGTTTGTTTCTTGTTGGTAAAAGTTTCTTGATTGGTTCTCTTCGCTTCCAACATTTACATCGCTAAATACATATATCCACGCTCTATGTTAATTCATTTGGTTCTTCCAAAAAACGAAATAACAAAAAATAATACAAACATCCAACAATAACGAATACAAGAAGGAAGTTAAAAGCTTTTCGGTTAAGAAACAAACAAAAAGAATTGTCCATCATCCTACTTTCCAGTTTCAATCACTTTCCTATGATGCAGTTGACTTCACCAACTGCAAGGAAAATTTTTGAGGTTCATGAGTTTATTTGCAAAAGTTTGATATTTTACCAGTGCTACGAATTTGCTTTCGATTCCACATATCTCTGCAACTGCAAAAGTCATTTGTTGTTATTCATTGTTATCTTTAATTTAAATTTAACCTTCACCAGACTTGAAAAGTTACTTTAAAACCAATCAAAACTGGCAAACTCCAATATTATAATATTGATAACGAAAGGAACTCAATTAATAAAACTGTGAAATCGTTAAAAGGTCTACGACTTGGTGTAAAAGTTAAGTTGTAAACGATGCAGCGGTTCGTCAAATTTGATTATCACCTGGGCAGCTGGTGCACCGTTTACAAACAGGATTTATATCTCGAGATTGGATTGGAGTGGTTGGAACACCCTCTGCTGCGTTACGGTGTGTGTGTTTGGGGACGCTATCGCCTCTACTTTTTGTGGCCACCGAACATTCGGTAACCATCACCCCCTTTCCTTGCTAAGGCTGCTGCATACGCACCTGAAGTTCCTGCTTCTTGGCGGCATATTTGTGCGGGTACAGCTCCAGTTGGCCACCGGCGATGCTGAAGTGGGGTACATGCGCCTGGAGCAGCTTGGTGGTGCCCTTGCCACCATCATCGCCGTAGATCTGCTGCACAAAGATGCTGCCCGGCTCGGTGCCCTCGAGCAGGGCCGCCGTGACCTGTTGCTGCTGCTGCCCGGTGATGGTGTACCGCTGATGCTGCTGCTGCTGGAGTTGCTGCTGGGTGATCTGCTGCTGCTGCTGCGGAGTCTGGGGCTCCTGCTTCAGCTGCATGGGCGGACGCAGAGAGCCGGGCGCCAGAAACATACCCTGTCCCATGTACTCCACTCCAGCCAGGGCCTGGTGCTGCTGATAGGCGGCTGCTGTCACCAGATGCTGCTGATCCTGATCCGTGGGCTGGGGGGTGCCTGCCTCGTCCGTTGTCGTCGCCGTCGTCGTCGCTGTGGTGGCCGCCTGGTTTAGATTGATAGTGTGTTCGTTAGTACAATTGGCTGCCGCCGCTGCTGCGGCTGCTGCTGCAACAGCCAGCACCTGCTGCTGCTGTTGTTGCTGCTGCTGCTGTTGTTGCTGCTGTTGCTGCTGCTGCTGTTGCTGGTGGTGGTGCTGCTGGTCCGTTGACGACGAGGAGGATGTCGGCGTTGAGACGACCACCGACGACGAACCACCGTGCACCACAACATGCTTCAGTATCTTCTTCTTTTCTCTGACCTTTTTGGCATAGTCGTTCAGCTTTCTCAGTCTTTCCTTCCGCTCCTCCGGTGACTCATTGGCGATCCTCTGGCGCGCCCTGGCCGCCATCTCCGCCAGCCGGAGCTTTCGCTGATCGTTCGTCTCGCTGGCCCGATACATGCGCATCCTTTCGGCCAGTTTGGCCAGACGCTTGGCCCTCTGGTCCGGCGACTCCATGGCCCGGCGGAGCCGCTGTCTGGCCGCATTCCTCACCAGCCGCATGGCCCTCTCTATGTCCGACTCATTCTGCCGCCTCTGACGATTGGCCTCTGCATTCCGAAGAAGCCGCTTGCGATACTCGTCCTCGCTCTCGCGCTGCCGTCGCTCCCGCATCCTTTCAGCATTTCTGGCCAGACGGCGCTGGCGTGCCTCGGGACTCTCGTTCCACCTCTGCTGGTGGCCAGTGGTGGAGGCACCTGTTATGGAGGCGGAGCTGGCACTGCTCGTCGGACCCAGGGGAGTGGGTGGCTGTTGCTGCTGCTGCTGCGACTGCTGCTGCTGCAACTGTTGCTGCTTCAGTGGGGTGTGGGCATAAAGCTGAAGATGCTGCTGCTGGAACTGCAGTTGATCCTGTTGCTGCTGGTGAAGATGCTGCTGCTGCTGCTGCTGGAACTGCTGTTGTTGCTGCTGCTGCTGTTGATGCTGCTGCTGCTGGTGTTGCTGCTGCACGTGTTGCTGCTGCTGCTGCTGTTGCTGTTGCAACTGCAACTGGTGATGCGAGGAGAGGGGTACCAACAAAGCTGAGGGATGCTCGATGAGGAGGCGGGCATTGGAGCCATTGATGGCCAGCACATGGGTGGCGTACTGCTGCTGATCAAGTGAGGGCTCTATTTTTATCCCATTGGGATCTGGTTCCATTCTTGGTCAAAAGCCGGGGGCAACAACAATCGAAATTGTCGTCTATCGGGGGCTTCAGGAGTAGTTGTACTTGTAGTTTCTATGTGTTGTTATCGAAAGGATGAGCGCAGTCCTTCCGATACCTTCGATAACATCTAGGGGCCGCGCTCTTGCTCTCTCCCTCGCACTCTCCCGCTCTTTTGCTGCTCCTTGGCGTTTCCTCTTTGTGTTTGTTTTGTTTCGAATATGCCCACAAGTTATATAAAGAATATGTGTGTGCTTGTGCTGGCGCCGCCGTTATTATCTCCCTCCCGCTCACTCTCTCGCTCACGTTCTGCGCCGATACGATCGCTAACTGTTATTGCGGTCCTCGATCATTTTCGTATTTTCTCTTTATGATATGGGTTCTTTTCCTTCTTTTGGCTGCCTTTTTGGTTGCCAATTTCGTGCGTTTTTTAAAAAGCGTGCTTCTTCTTTCGAGTAAGTGACAATTGGCGCCGCCGCCGCGCTGCTGCTGCGCTGCCAATCGATTTTTCACATGATTATACACACACACCCATGCAGCACGCCGCTCGCACACACACACGCACTGCTGAAGCACACTCACACATAGGCAGCGTACGTGTGTGCGAGTTTTTTTCCGCTCCTTATTTTGCTTTTCGCACAATTCTTAACCCACTGTTGGTCGGTTGTTCCATTTAATCGCTATGCTCTGCAGCCTGGCGCTCCTTTGGCGGGCTAAGAACTGGAGTGGCGGCGCAGCAACCGCAGCTACCGACTTTGACTGCAAATGGCGGGGGTTTATCCTTCCAGCATGTGTCTTGCCCTGTCGACCGGATCGAATTGTCTTTGACTCGAACGTTATTTTGTTGCTTTTTCGGATCTCGTGGCACTGTTCTTTTGATTTAATTTACTTAATTTTATTTCAGTTGTTTTCATTTTCTGAATAGTTCAGTTTAGAGGTGGAGAAACATCGATGGAAATATCGATGCTACGATTGCAAGTCGCGGTATTGGCAAGCCGACAATTTGAAAATATCGATATTAACTTGTATCAGGAGGGTGTCTCCGCTATGTCTGGAGTTTGCATCGGATAATTTCAAGGTATAACTAATTAACAAATTGATAACAACAAAACTATCGATATAAATAGTATCGGAAATTGGCGTTTTGGCGGGAGAAAGTCTATGCTGGGTGGGTGTATTGGCTGACAGTGGGCAAAAAGTTCGTTTTTCTTAATAAACTCTTGTTTTAAAGATATAAAATTTGAATATTGCAGATATACTTTTAAGACAACAACTTAATTTAAGTTTCCTTCTGTTTTTGGATTGGACTTTGTCTTCTTTAATATCTGAATATCAACATCGACTTGGAGACCGACAGCTGGTTTCATTTATTACTTGACTTGAATGCATAAACTAACTTTGGATAAGCTTTCGGTGGATAAGACGTTCCCTTCCCCATCTTGATGGTTTCAAGTATTTCAAGTACTTACCAACCCCAAAAGTTGACTTCCCGCCCATTTTTAGAGCGCCACATTTAAAAATTGTGAATGCAACTTTATTCAAGTATATTCATTTTGTTATTCTCGTTTTTTTTTTGTCACTTGTTATGTTTCTTATATTTGTTTTTGTTTTCTCTTTGATGGTGTGTCGTGTGTTTTTTTGTTGTTGTGTATTGTTATTGTTAGTGTACACGCATATTACAATACACAAAAATGTATTTCAATCTTAAGTCTTAAGGCGAAAACAATTGATAAACGTATTTAGACAGGAAAAAAACAGTTTGAAATTTCGACTAGAACTTAATGGTTACACTTTATTAATAATAATTAGCATAATATATACGTGTCTGTATATATATATCATGAGGGCCCCTAGCGGAAGTGTCTTCAATCCGTCTAAGGACATGGGCGTGGGAGGGGGATAAAGATAAGGATAAGGATGTGGGTGGTGGGCGGTGGCAGGGAGAAGGATTGCGTGCTATAACAAATATTTCGTTATGTGCCTGGCAACGGATCATGTGTGTATGCTCCAAATATATATATATGTTTATATATGTGGGGGCTGCCGAGTGTGTATATCCTTATGTGAGTGGCGTTGTCCGTTTTGGGTTACATGGTAAGAACCAACTACACACACATATGGGGGTTGATTGCCGCCAGGGTGCCTCAGTTGTTTTCGAAAAAAAACATATTTTGATATTATAGCAAGTTTCGCCCGAGGATTTGCTGGAAAGGCACTTGTTGCCTCGTCCATCCGCGAATTCATTTTTTAGTTATGGTTTTTTTTTTTCGATTTTTAAGTTACGGATGCGACAGTTTCGCAGTCGTTTGCGATTTTTATTTACAGTGAGGCACCCTGGCGCTGCTGTAAGCTTCCTTTTTCCTGGGGAAAGTGGGTGGTGGGGGTTGGGGGGCATTACTGCCTTTTTTGGGGGCTCTACATATACATATGTGTGCTATGACTATGCTAGTGCTTGTGTGTGTGTTTTCTTGTGTCGCGTGTGTATACATACATACCGTACGAATATAATGCATGCATTATAAAAATACTTTACTTTATGATTACTTTACGTTTCTCCATCTTGTTAATTGGTAATTGTTAATTGTTAACTTAAAAAAAAAATTTGCCTGGCTTTAATCCTAGAGTGCCTGCTGCCCATTCAACTGCATCTGCTGATCCTGGTGAACCTCCTGGTTTCCGTTTCTGTTTCTGTTTCTGACTGGTTTTCTGTTATAGGCTGTATACAATATATATTATTTATGGTTCCTCTATTCATGAGTGTTCCCCTGCCGATCCTGGCCTTAGCTTACTCAGCAGAAGGTGCTCCGCTTCGCCACCACCTGCCTTGCGGAGGAGAGCCAGCTCCAAAATAGCTCCGGGATGCCTAGATGATCCTCTCTCTTAGTAACCCTTGAGCCTGTCGGCCAGCGGCGGCTTTATGACCTTGGGCGCACTGGCGCGAGCCACACGCATCCTTTCGGCCGCCTTCGCCAGCCGCTTCTTGCGCTCCTCGACGGTCTCCGAGGCGCGGCGCAGTCGCTGCCGCGCTGCATTCTTCATCAGTCTTAGGGTTCTTTGTACTTCCGTTTCGTTCTGGCGGCGCACACGATTCGCCTCCGCATTCTTGGCCAAACGCACCCGATACTCGGCCTCCGATTCCTTTGCCCGCTTATCCCGCATCCGGGCGGCGTTCCTCTCTAGCCGCCTTTCCCTGGCCTCGATCGATTCGTTGCTCCTCCGGCGAGCTGCCTTTTGGGCTCTTGAAGATTGCCCTGGCTGCTGGGTGGCGGATTGCTGGGCGCTAAGATGCGGCACGCCAAGATTGGCAAGGCCTGGTATGCCACCAAGTTGGCTGGCCTCGACCACAACGCCTGCGGACAAATGATGATGCAGGGGATGCTGCTGCTGCTGCTGTTGGAGCACCTCCTGGTGGGGATTCCCCTGCTGTTGCTGCTGCTGCTGCTGCTGCGACTGCTGTTGCTGGTGGGGATTGCCTGGCTGGGTGAAGCTCTGCTCCAAACTCAAGACGGCCGCTGTGCCAGTCGCTGCACTGGCTGAGGTGGCACTAGCGGCTCCAGATCCTGATCCCGACGAGGAACCCGCCGCCGAACCCGTAACCGAAACGGAGACGGAGGTGGCTACGGATGAGGCAACGGCTGCCGCTGCAGCCGCCGAACTTGTGTAGTTGTTGTACTCTAGGAGGCCACGATTGCCCGGATAGAGGGCATGGTGCATGGGGCTCTCATAGCTGAGATACTCCGGCTTGATGAAGAACGGGTCGCGGGCGGTGAGGGGGGCCGTCGGCGAGTTGAGGAAGTAGAGGCGACTGTGGTGCTCGGTGGTAATGCTCCCTCCGCCACCCACACCCGCGGACATCGGGGGATTTGTGCGCTCGCTCGCGTCTCGACTTTGGGGTCCGGTTTCTGGTTACTTCTGGGCTTGGCTGTGGAAGTCCTGCGGAGATTCGGTTCGCCTCTTTTCCCGCGCGCGCCGGGAATTAACGCAATTAACTGGCCTGGGCAAAAAAAATGTGGCGAGTAAACAACAAAAGCGACATAACTAATCAATATGGAAAAAAGCTGCCGCTGCCGATGGTCTTTAAGAAACATCGATAGCTCCTTGCCCAACATCGAAGTTAGCGATGTTTTGAAAATCGGTCCACCTCTAAAAGCTCGCATCGCGGAATAATTCGAACTTTTCGATAAATTGTTTAAATAATATTATGGTTTTGTTAATGAATAGATGTAATACAATTAAGTATTAAACGTCCCAATGAACAAATAATAATGCAAGCTTAGATTGTGTGAACCGCACGCTCTCAACGCCAGAATCGAAGTGAACGAGAATATCAAGAGAGAAAAAGAACAACGAGAAGATAGGAAAAAGAAGCACGATAGTCCCGTTTTCTTAAGCGGTTGCCTAGGAAACCAAGACATCGGAATGTGCGTCTACCTCTCGTACACATACATTCATGCAAACATAAATTGCACAATTATCCATGTGACTTTTGTATATTTTAACATGCAAACTCCAACAAATATTAATACATATATTTTGTTTTAATAAATTCAGTTTTAACGTGGTGCAAAGATGCGTAAAAACGAATTCTTTTTGAACAATTTTCGTTTCGTTACGTAGGTTTGTTGGCCAGTGCTGAAAGTCACGCAGTGACGTAAACGTTAAGTTACGTAGCAAAATCGATTAGTAGTAGTAGTGTTATATCGAAATCGGAAAATATAAAATTTCAATTTTAGTATCAATATCAACTAAATTCGTATTAGCAAAAAAAAATTCAATTTTTATTACAAGTACAAGAAAATTCAATATTAATATTGAAATATTCAAAATGTTTTTATTTTAATTGCAGAAGTGTTGGTGCTTGTATTACTGTATTATACTGATAAAATATTAATTATAATAATAATTATGTGCTGGTCTTTCTCATCCGGCTTGACGCAGTTCAAGTTTATATCAAATATGTTATTCAAATATTTTGTTCGTTTCGCGGAAAAGCTCTGCGCAACACCGTTCCTTGCGCGTTTCCCCGAACTTGAATTACTTTAAAAATGTGTCTTTATTTTCAAAATAATCAGATTAAACACATTATTGATTCTGTTTTACAACTTTGAGTTCCATTATTATTTTATTACTGTTTAAGTTAATGTTTATATTATTCCTATTATTCCTATAACATAGTTAATAAATAGAAATAAAATGAATTTAGTAGAAATGCGCGCGTGCGCGGATCTTGATTAACTTCACATTAGGTAAAATGTTTAGCAAAATTATAAAATAGTAGCGTAATAATTTATATGTTTTTGAACTTGTAACGCTAAATGCAATAAAGTGTGATGCGATTACAAAAATTAGTTCAGATGAATTTAAATTGGTTGTCCTATTACAGGCACAAAATCATTAGAATTGAAACAAGTAATCTCATTATTTAAATGGCCTTTATAACTAATACAAGGCCTGCGAATAAAAGAAATGTTAACCGCAATTTAAGAAAATGGAACTAAATTGGAAGTTAAACAGAAGTGGCAGCAGGAATAAAATATCCTTGGGACCAACCGATGTTTCGTGACACGGGCGACGATGCGGCCTCACGCGGGCATCTCCAATACAGGTAAACTTCCCTTCCATAGCTGGAAATTTTCCTTAACTGGAAACAAATGTTAGTTGAGCGCGCGTTTTTTCAGGAAAAGTGTTTTATAAGTCAGAAGATTAAATGGTAAAAGTTGATAATTTATAGTTTTTCATACAAATGTAATTAATAATTGGTACCAGTTATTGAGAAGATGCTGAAGATTATTAAGGCTATTGACCATATTGATTAATGCATACAAAGCTATGTACATACATATGCATAAAGTACTGTTAACATAAAATAAAACAAAATCACAGTTCCTCCAACTCGAACTTTTTATGCGAACGTGGATCGGGGTTCGTGCTACCGAAGTTCGACTGTGGCGAGTGAATGGCTGGTGGAATGACAGCATACGCCATGTTGTACCGCATTTTTGTTTTGATTCTCGACGTGAGCGGACGTGTGTGTTCGTGTGATGCGGCGCCAGTTGGCAGGTACAGGTAGCGTAGTTTACCTTTGCCGCTCTACAAAAGTCAAATAACAACAATAACAACGACGGCGATAATCGCAACAACAACAACGACAACGACAGTTGCAACAATAGGCGCATTCTTAATTGTGTTTACCTTTGATTGTCATTCGCCAGCGTTACATACATACATACACAGAGAGATAAACATACATTTTATAACTGCGATTTGACTGCGTGCGTGTGTCGTCGCGTCTCCTCTTTACCCCCCTCTTTGCCCCCTCCTTTTTGTTTGTTTGTTTTTGGTTCTTGTTCTCTCGGGTTTTCCTTCAATTGGAATGTGCAGCGAAAAGAACGGCAAGAAGAAAAGCCAAGCGCAAAGAAAAGAAAAGCAAAGCAAAGAACAAATCAAATCAGAGCAACGGTATTAAAATTTATATAAGCACTAACATAATTTACTACTCTCGCACACACAAAACACAGACACAGACATTCAAGGCAACTACTTCAAAAAAAAAAGCAGTAATAAATACAATTTTACACATTCACATTCCATTTTGATTCTGTTGTGTGTGAAAAACTTATAAGAGAAAAAGAAAAACAACAAAAACAACACGAAACCAACGGCAAATAACAATAACAGCAGCGGCAACAACAACAGCAGCAGCAGCAACAACAACAGTAAGCAGCATAGCAAAGCAGCGAAGTCAACGTCAAAAACGAAGAAGAAGAAGCAAGATAAATACATAGCAATTTCGACTAAATAAAGGTATGTGCGACGACGATTTTACTTGACTTTATTATTACTATACTACTCGTTAGAGCGAGAGAGCCGAACCTACGTACAGAGACATACTACATACAATCAGAGGCAAACACACATGCACACACATTTTCATTATTAGTTTAACTCTTCAATTTATTATTGTTATTATTGCTATTGCCTTGTATCCCTGTCCCGCTCGCACGCTCCTTGTGCTCCCCTTTTCTGCTTTGGCTTGGCTCTCCTTTTGCGCCGCTCTCTCGCTCTATCGCGCTCTCAGTCTCCCTGTCATTTTCTCTCATTTTTCTTGGCCCTCTCTTTCTCCGCTAGTTCTTATTAAAATAGTTACGTTAAATCAGTGCGTTAACTTGTATTTGTGTGTATGTGTGCCGCTGGTATCTGTATGTTTGTCGGTATATCTGTATCTGTATGTCTAAAGATTACGTTTTTTTTTTGTTTTTTTTTTGAATATGCCTACGAAAATGTTTAAGAATCCGAGAATGTGTGTGTGTTTATTGTTCTTTCGTATTTGATCACCCGCTTGATAAAATAGAGAAAAACAAGTCAGGTTAAACCGACAATGTCTGTATGTTTTCTATCTGTAAGTGCCCTCGCATATGCACGGGTATGTGTGTGCGTTTGCATTGTACATAAATTGAATTAAGTGAAATTTTTTGTTGTTTTAGCTAGCGGAAATTTCTACACCGCATGTTCGTCGATCACTAAAAAATCGAACTTAAAATCAAACACGCACACGCATGCATAACGGTTACTCTGCGACAGTTCCGATAAGTTTTTACTTTGATGTTCACAAATTCTGATTGGAATCTCGGCTGTTATGCAACATTTAGATGTGGAGCTCTCAAAGATCTCAAGTCTCGAAAATTAATTACATAGCCACATTAATGTTTTTTCCATTAGCTTCGTTTTATTGTTGGCACCCACAAAGTATCTAGTTCTCACGGAATAAAACCCCTGACCAGTGTTGGTTAATGAGCCGTTTACTAATTGATATTCGAATTGGTTTCTAGTTAGAACATTGATTCAAAGGAATCTTAGAACTTTAGTTTAAAGGAATATTAAAATTACATGTTGAACAGAATACATTTTGACACCCGGTTATACAAAATAGTTTTTTTTAGCATCTTTTATTTATAATTTTTTATTTTAAGCCAAAAACTTTGAAGTCATACATAGTGTCGAGCTTTAAGTTACACCGCCCCAGATTCAGTGATACATGACACTTGTTACGTACATAGGTCGAATGAAACTGTTGGCTAGTTGGTGTAGTAATATTCCATGTAAAATAATGAAATGCAGACCAAAGAACATAAATACAAATGTAATTATCAACCCAAATTACAATTAAATTTCAATCAATTATTTTGGTCTTTTTCGCAAGCCATAATTTGTGTACTTGGCAGAAAAATGCGATAACCTGATGTGTTCCGCCATAAAAAGGTAAAAGATTCCTGTTTTGTGCGAGTGATCACCTACCCCTTTTGTGATCCTGTGCCTCGTTTGGGCCCTTCCCTTTTTTCTATAGCTGCCTAGCTGGCATTTGCAGAAAAAGAAGACAAAAACTCACTAGACGAGTGGAGCTGCACATATTTGTTAACATTACCATTACCATATCCCATTTCCAATTTCCAAGCTTGCTTCTCTGTGACTCAGAAACAAAAACAACAACCAGAGCTCAAATAAAAACTGCAACAAGAAGAAACACACACCTATTTACAGCTGGGTTCAAGATAATAGTGGTAATTTTAAATCCATGCATATTTTAATATGCATTTTGAGCACTCTAAAAATTGCGATAGAAGTGGTTATAACTAATGTAATATAATATGGTTGTAATATATTATAATATGGTTTCTAAACTATTACTCTTAGCAATATTGAGAACACGAAAATATGACTATTACTGCGGACACAGCTGTATGGTGGTGGCACTCACACAGGTACACTAAAAGAAAAAAAAACAAAGAGTTGCCGATATGCATATGTAACTACTCGAGTATCATTAAATGCAGATCTCTATAAAAGCATAAAAAACGAAGTCGAAGCGGAGAGTGACTTTTGAGTGCGGTTTTTTATTCGTATCGTATCGTTTCGTTTCGTTACCAAGACAAGCAGACAAGCAGACAAGACACACAGCCAACAATCCATAATAATCTTCCCGTAATTTATAGTCCAAGACAATTTATGTAATTTACAAATACCAAAAACGAAAGAGACGGCAAAAGGCAAAAAAAAAAAAATGAAACAAAAGACGATGAGAGCGAATGCAACTGCTGCAGCCAACTAACGATAATAACAATAACGAAAAAAAATATAATAAAAAGAGAGGAAAACACACGGTGGAAAAAACAACAAGGCAACACACGGCAATAGCAATAAACAGCTACAGCAACAGCAACAACAATGGAGCAGCGCACTAAATAAACAATTCAACAAATTTGATCCGAGGCAAGCACACACATGCACATGCACCTATACACATACACACACATACCCTCGACAATCATAGACAACTCACACGCACATAAAATGCATATGAAGAAAAAATATGTAGGTATGTTTGAATAAAAAATATACGACAAATGTAAGTGCAGTAACAGAAAAAAAAAGCAGAAGAAAAAAACCAACAGCAAAGGCAAAGGCAACAATAACAAATGCAAGTCGCAAGTCAAAAGCAAAAGGCAAAGAAAACGCAAAGACAGTGCAAAGTCAAATGTCGTTTAAGTTCCAAGTTTTTTCCTCTTTATTTGTTTTTGCTTCTCAAGTTTGGTGAACGCATAAAATAGATAAGTAGTGTTGGACAAGGTCCTAGAATTCGACTCTGTGATACCCCCATCAAAGTATCCCCCTCACTATTTTGAAAGGATTCCAAAGGTAGTGCGGCTTTAGCCTATTTCCAAAACTCTGATGTTTAACAACTAGTTTTTTTTCGAGTACACTTTATAATGGCATATCATTTAGATTATACAATAACTTATAATAATGTGTGTTCAAAACTGGTTTTATAGACACAGCTCACTGAAAACACTGAATATGTATCGATTTGTAACCTTTAATTTTGCCGGAATCTGGAATTGCAAGGACCACTATCCTTTGTTCTATAAGCTGCTGTGTTTTTTAAATACCATATAAAGTTGTACAAAAGTATACTTACTTTGTTTGCCCTGTTTAAATTGTTCGTTATACAGCTCCAAGGCTAAAAGGCTCAGCGTTAAGTGTGAAAACCAATCTACCCTTGATACCTCTTATATCAGAAGCGTCTATAAAAGTCTGTAGAAAATGTACAACTTGAACCCATAAACTCGCACACTCACACACACATGGAGACAGATGCTAGCTTGAATGTGGTAATTGCATTTATTGCACGTGCTCTTGCTATCTCCTTTGCACTCGCCGCACCCGTCTCCCTCTCTCTCTTGCACTCAAGAGTCAAGCACAAAATGTAAGGCCATAAAAATATTTTTCAAGCTGTAAACTTTTCTATGCTGCACAGTTTCTTTTTCGTTTGGTTCTTTTTTCTTTCTCTTTCTGTGGTTTCCCGACCAAACGAACAAACCGCACCAAACGATCTCCTCCCCATTTACCCAAAACCCCCTCTTCTCGCCCAAACTACAGGGTATCAATCAAGCGAGCTCTTGCGGTTGGAGGATTTCCAGTGCAATTCCCCTTGAGACTTACAAATGAGGTCAAAATAATAGTAACCCTGTTCTCATTGTCGATCCAATTTGCTGAATTTATATATTTAAATTCTTCCAGAAGGTGTCTAAGTGATTTTCCTAAAAATATATTATTTAATTTTTCAGCAATTGCGACCCACATTTGGGGGCTAAAACTATGGGCTTTACTGATATGAGGTCTTATAAGAGTATCTTACTACTACTCAGTTCCTGAGGTTCTGCAAATGTATCCCACAGATACATCCTTATGTATATTGTCGGGAGCGGTTTCTTCCGGGTATAAAAACACTATACCATGTCTTTTGGGCTCCTATTATTTTGTACACATCTGTTTTTTTTTTGCAACACTGATGGGAAGATGTGGAGAGAGGGTGCCGCATCTTTGATGCTTTTATGGGCAAGTTGCTGGATATGAAACTTGTCTATTGAGCGCGCCTGGTTCTTTCTTCTGGCTGGTTTCTTCTCGTTTCTGGGCTCGCGGTTCTTTCGCATCGGCGTTCTTCGGTTTTCAGTCCTCAGTTCTACATAGGTTCCAAGCTCCCTGTTCCCAACTCTTGGTTCTCTGTTTGCCATGCGCTCTCCTCTCATCTTTGGCTTATCTACACTGCCATTGCCAAGTTTTTCATCTAGTTTTTGGTCTGGCTTTTCCCCCTCGGCTCCCAGTTTTGATTCCTGTTCTTCTCCGGTCGTCTTCTCGAGCAGTTCCTTTTCTTCTCGGCACTCCCACCCGCCCACACGCATCTCCTTTTGTGGAATCGGTCGGTTGACTTGGTTTACAGCCCCCTCGTTGCGCTTCCTTACATTTTATTTTTGTAGACTTTATATCCTCTCTCCCCATCATCATCATCATCATTGTCGCAATCTTCATTATCAGCGAGCATTTATTTGCTTTCTTGGAGCTTTTCTTTGTACGCATTCTTCTGGTCTTGGGCTTCTCCGGTCTCCGGTCTTCAGTCTTCTGTCTCTCCAATTTCTTTTTTGTTTTCTTTCGAATTCTGTAGAAATTATAATTGCAATATTTATTTGGGTATTTCGGCGAAACGAAAACCTCAGCGTTTATCTAGGTTTTATTTTACGTATGTGTGCATATAATACCGGGGCATATAGTTGGGCAAATTGTTTACATAATCAGATAAACCTGATACTACCTACCACCGGGTGGGTTCAGCAGCTATCGATATTGAGCGACTATCGAAATTAATATCTCGTCAACTGAGGGAAAGGAAACAAACAAAACAAACGAACAAACACATTCCAATCTTCTCTTTATTATTTTTATAATGGTTGAACTTACAGATGTTTGTAAGTGTACATTTCCTCACACAGACACCCAGGCCACACTAGTAATCACTCGTGTGTGTGTGTATGTGTGTTGATGTGTCTTCTTCCGGAGCTATTGTTATTGCAAGTACACGTAAAATTATTGTTCACGTCGCACATTGTCGTGAGTTTGTAATTACCAACCTCGCCTCACCTCGATCTCCCACCTCTTTACCATCGACCACCGACCACCGACCGTTCATATGAGGTCTCAATATGCAGCACAGTGGTCGCTGGCTAAGTGAAATATCATAAGTAGTGACATTCTGTGAGCTATCTCGATCTTGAGATGGTAAATAGATGCGTTTGAGGCTAGAACTTTCTAACACTTCGCTGAAAAGGTAATTTAAGATCTCCAAATAAAACATTCTACCTGTTACTACACACATTTGGATTAATACAATGTACCCCCATCTGTAGGAGTACCTGGTATAAATATTATGAACACATCTGGATATCAAGCCTTGCAATCAGTATATCATTATTTATTAATGGTGTGAGTTTCATCAACAAACTTCCACTTGTGTAGTCAGAAAACGAGTTAGTGTAAACAAGAACTTTAGACACTATATCGTATTTATAGGAATGTTTTACTTATTTTAGATGAGCATTGTCGATTGGAACTGTCGGTGGTTAAATAGATCGAACATCTTTAAGATGCAATTTGGAAGCGATCACTGTAGTTGCCCATGTATGCTTACATGAATGTCTGTGAGAGTTGTACATAGATACGAACAATGATATTCTTTTGGGGGCATTGCATAATCAGTGTAATCTCTTTAGCTTATACCCCTCTTTTTCCGCTTTCTTCTCTCATAACTCTCTTCCTCTTTTTGCTCACAACCCCCCAAACTGTTGCATGCAGGAGTCTCAAATCAATTATGAACACAACAATTTGTTATGCAAGGCCATGGAAGGTTTTTTGCAGATTTTCTCCACTTCTTCGGGTTCTTGATCTTAGGAAAGAGAAAAAGAATGCTGTTAAGCTGACAGAACAATTGCCCGCTTCTTGTGCTTCTTTCATTATTTGGAATACTTTCTAAGTCAACGACAGCGTTTAGAATTTATCTAGTACTTGCTCACACACGGTACGAATACTGATACAACAAAGTTTACTTTGTCGTCGAGCGTTCTGTCTTCAATTCTTCTAGATGTGCTCCATCGTCTTCTCAGCGTTCTTGTGCTTCTATTCTATTCTATACCATTCCATAGCCGTCCGCAAATATGCTCACAAATATTAAATTCTGTATGGTATGGTATGGTATGGTATGGTATGTCTGTCTGTATGTATAGTAAAAACCCACCATCAACCGTGCGCCACCCACCGCCCCCTTGTAAGTTGGTCGTTCGTGTGCGGTGTATAAATTTTCTGTGGAACTGTACAATAGCTAAAATAATCATAAAAAAGAAATAACAAAGTTTTAAGTCTCACAGTGTGAGTGGAGGTAAACCAACAAGCGAAGGCAGGCAGGCAACCAACACACATGTCTTTCTCTGGGATATATGGGATAGTAAGTGTAAGTATAAGTAGTGTGTATTTGCTTTTCTCGACGCGACTTCTTGAATAGTTGCGGAGTAGAGTCGTTCAGTTCAGTTCAGTTCAGTTTTAGTTCGGTTCGGTTTCGAGTTCGGGTTCGCTGGGGGTTCGTTTTGAGGTTCGTGTTGGGGTTCGCCTCGGTTCGTTTGGAGCTTTGACTTCGGCTCTGCTCCACGAAATCTTCGCTCTCTCTTTGGTCTCCTAGTCTCCTAGTCTTGTCTTTGTGCAGAAACAGAAATCTCGAGTTTCTTGACTTTTCTGCCTGCTTTTCCGCTCGACTCTTACGCACTACCCACCACCTCCCCACCACCCTCTTCTCATAAGTAATAAGCATTTCGTTTGTTATAAAGTTTTTCTTTTCTTGCTCCGTATTCCGTATATTTCCTCATACATGTGTGTAAAACCGCGACGTTTCCCACCAACACTCCGTTCACCCTTCAAGCCCCCCACTTGACCAACATCACGCGCCTTTATATGGGTTCCACTTTATTTAATTTTTATTTTAAACTTTAAACAATGTCTGGCTCTGACTTGAAATGGTAATTGATAGAGAGGTGGAAGCAAGAGGGGCAGCTCCATATGCGGGCCTCTTACAGACATGGAAACTATTCATATACAGTCGAACTTCCATAATTCCAACCACCACCATCTGTCTCATAAAAATTCAAGTTTCTTTTAAAGATTGTTTATGGAACGCAAACAAGTTTTGTTTCTCGAATTATTTGTAATAAAAAGTGGTTCCAGTTTAATAGTATACGAAAACACTTTGACTTTGACATTTTTGCACTTTGAATTCGCTATAAAATTACAGAATTAATTAGGTGTTTCAATTAAGCTTAAGCCAAGACTTTTAAATATTATGCTCAGCGGAGAAAAATTAGTTTCTTTGTAGCAACTATGTAAGTCGCCAGGCAACTGGTTAGAACGGCGAACAGTATGCAATGGTTTTTACGATCTGAGGTTTATCTGTTTTAAGATTGCACTCTTAAGATTTTGGTTGTTGTGTTTGGGGTAGTGTGAAGAATTTAGTTTTAGTTTTATAAAACCCAAGTAGTAGTATAGTATTGAAATCCTTAAAAGCATAATAAAAGTTAAGATCTGAAACTTTAGATCTGCAACCTCTAAAGTTCACATTTCTTATATCTAGATTCGACTGTGTTCATATCATGCTATGCATTATGTTTCTTCAAGGAGTGGGAGGAGGGGGGTTTAGTACTCGTTGTACAAATATGTATTGCAAATTGCTTTGGTCTTCTTACCAGTTCCAGTTTCCAGGTGCTATCCCCCTCTCTCTGTTTCGCTCTCGCTCTCCGTGCATCATTATGCGAGAGCATATTCTTGTTCTCTTTCCATGCAGATGGGGGGGGGAAAAGAGAGATCGCGCAGAAGATCAAAACAGAATTTCAATTTGCAAACTCATGTGCCTAGGATTCTCATCCCCCCATTGCCCCCCACACAGTCCGCGCCTTTTTGTTTTTGTTTTGTTGGTTTTTTTTGGATATGATTTTTTGCAAAAAGTTCTCGGGAGGAGAAACTGGTTGAGAATTTTTGCATTCCGTTGCTGAACTTGAATTGCATTTGGAATTTGTTCGTAGTTCTCTGAGCTGTGTTCCACGCATTTTCCATTTCCGTTCGTTCACCTTGTTCTTTCCAGAAGTTCTTCTAGTAGGGGGGGGATAGAGTTAAATGGAATGGTAACGTCGATAGTTCGATGACTTTTTGCCGCTGGCTTATCGATGACGCTGGTGATTTATTGATCGAGATGCGTTTATCGATGGAGCGAATATGGCAAACTGAAACTTAATTGCTCAACTAAATTACAGCAATTTTTCCCATTCCATGATGAGCGAAAGAGAGCGAACATGAATTTATCGTACTTTGTGTGCTTTGTCTTCCGCCCTATCTTCTCCATAACCCCCCGAACCCCTCTAACCCTCTTAGCCCCCCCCCCCCCCCCCATTCCAAACTTTTGTAGATATAAAGTTTTATTTCATTTCGTTTCGTTACGATTTTTGCTATTATTATTTGTTCGTGTCTCTGTCATTGTATCTGTGAGATACCCCGTGTATCTGTGTGTGTGTGTGTGTATGAATGTTATTTTTTAGTTTCGACTTGTTTTCTTTTGTGTAATTTTATTTTTGTATGTGCACCAGTGTGTGTATCAAGTTCATAACTTTTGTACGGCGGCTACGACAGTAAGAATTGTTTTGTTGTTGCTGCTGTTGTTTTTGTTGAAATCCACACAATAAATATATGTCTGTGTGTACGAACGGGCAAGGAGTATGTATGTTTGTATCTGTGTGCCATTGTGTTGCCATCAGTGTGTGTGAGTGTGCCTGTTTGTTTTTTTTATTTTTCACATTTATTTTCTAGTTTGCTTGCTCGTTGTTTTGTTAACTCTTATTTAGTTTTCTTTGCGTCTTGAGCGTCTCTGTCTTCGTATCATACGACTATGTATATATTCTTTTTTTTTGTTTTTTTTTTTCGTACACACATTTTTCGTTTATGCCCCATTATTAATAAATAGTTTTCTTGTTCTGCTCTGCATTCCCATTTCAGTTTACCAAACGTCGTCGGTACAATCGGAACGTTCCGTTCCTGCGTTTCTGTTTTCCCGTACGTGCGCTCTCCTTTCCGTTCGTTCCGCGCGCTGCTCTCTTGAGTGAGAGAGGGTGCCCACTTGTTGCCGGCTCAACTCGAACTCTCTCTTGCTATTCCATCATTCCATCGATATTGGATACGATAAGTGATTGATCTGATCCACCCACTGGCGGAGATTTGTGGTACGACGACGACGCTCAGTGGAAGCAGAAGAGCCCGGATCCATTGGAAGGCATGCAGTTGATGGCCAGCGGTTACTCCTGCAGCAGCTCCATCTCCTTCAGTTCCAGTTCCAGTTCCCTCCGTTCCAAACTCTCGCGATGGAGAGCGAGCAGCAGGAGGTTGGGGGCGGAAGTGCTCCGTTATGTCGCATCTGCATCACCACCCACCACCAGCACAACAACACCACCACCACCACAGCATCCACAGCCAACCTGCCAATGATACCCATCTTCGGCGAGGATGCGCTCTGGCAGAAGATTACCACGTTGGCCAACGTCAAGGTGAGTGGAAAAAGCAAAAAGGGGAGCAAAGAATAAAATAATGGGGAGCAATCCTAGCACTAAGAAGTCAGAACAGAAGACAAAGAAGGTGGCAAAAGAGGCGGGTGAACCGAAGGTCAAGAACTGGAGACTTTCATAACACAGTGGTCACTCGCCAAATAAAACACAAAGGTGTTGAAAACAGGGACGGTATAATAAAATAGTAACTATCTTGTATAAAGAACGATTACAGTACAACTTATTAAGATGTATTAACAATTTTAAAGTTTATTTTTAAATTTTAGTATCCCATGTGAGCATTAATAAAACCTTCTGTCGGTCAAAATAACTAAGTAAATTGGATTTGTAGAACAGGCATATATCTCCGTTTACATTGCCCTCTTATCATGTTGAGAAGGTAAACTTTTTGATAAGAAACATTTTAGGACCGGTTTCATAATGCCTGATTAAAATAGACGTTATAATAAACTCGCACGTGTTATAGTGTAGCCTAGTACCTTAAAAATCATGGAAAATTTATTTTTTAAATTTGGAGACACTTAGCTAGCGACCACTGTATTTATTGATTTCACTGATTTGCTGTGAATGACTTGTTTTCTTTTCTATCCCATTGAGTCTGAAGAGCTTTTCGAGCTGTTTGCATATAAAATCGATCCTAATTTGTATTCCATACAAAGCGTCTACAATTCCAAGAGCGCTTAGAATATATCAAAACACATTATATGGCAGGAAGTAAATTTTGTGGTTTTAACTTAGGAGGCCTGAAGTAAACTATATCTTTTTAGGGGGGTCTATATTATTGTTTTCAACAAGGTGTGTCGACTATTTGAGCCCACTGTTTGTGTGTAATCCAAGATTGTTGTTGTGTTCTTCTTCGTGGAATACTAAAACTAAAAAAAAAAAGCAAACACATGAAAGTTATTCACACCAACACAGGCACTCTGCGTATTTATTATTCATATTAATTTTCATACACATTCGCCCGTACGTATTATTATATCTTGTATCCCAGATGTGTGTGTGTAATTTGGAATCAGTTTTCATTGCTTTGTCTTGTTGCTCCACTCCTCTTTGGCCATTTATTCTGTTTATTTGTTCGGTGGAATGGTTTCGGCTTCGTTTCGACTTTGGTTAGTTTATTTTATTCATATTGTGTATTGTGTATTGTGTATACAATTTTTTCCAACGAGCGTTTCATATTTTTTCCATCGTCGCTCGATGGAATTTCTTGTGGGTATCTTGTCTTCGTATTTTGTATTTCTTCATTTCATTTCATTTCGAATCGTTTCGTTTCTCTGCTTTGGCTTTTGTAAAATAATTTACCGTTTGAATTGCTGTTTAGAAGTGTTTGTTTGTATGTATGTGCTTGGCTTAATTCCACACATTTTTCCTTTACCTAACTTTACAATCTTGGCTCTCTTGGCTCTCTTAGCCAGCTCCTCCTAATCTCTTTGTCGCTCTCCTACACAAAAAGAATTTTTTATGGATTCTATATCATATATTATAAATACCTATGCCATGTCATTGAACCAGATACCAGAGCTTCAATTTTATAGTGTCAGATTGACAAATTAAATTATTTTTATGAATCATAATTTATGATATTCATTAAAGTGAAAGAATGAAAAAAAATTCTTTGGGCAGTGGCATTTGAACCCGTGCGCTTCCAAACTATGTGACCTAAAAATGTTGGATTTAATAATGGAGCCACTTTGTTTTTCTCCTGTGTACACTTGCTCTTTGCCCATTTCCTACTTTATGTTCGGCTTAGACGTTCGTTGGCCCCTCGATTCTGGTGGGCTGGTAAGGGGTGAAGTAGGGGGTGAAGTAAGGGGTGAGAGGTGGCACGTGAATGTGAATGGGGTGGCTCTGTGTGTTTTCGTTTTCTCGCCCGTGTGTCTTCGCCCTCTTATTCGCATTGGTGTTTTTACAATTCATGTGCATATTTCAATTTGATTTTCTCCTTATGTGTTTTTTCTCAACCGTTGAAATGCTGCAATTTTCTGGTTTATTTCAGCAATTTTCCCACTTGAGTAGATTATGTTGCCAATTCAAGGAATTTTATGTTGTCATTAAGTATTCCAAGCAATCTGGCAACGCCCGTGGAATCATAAAGCCGTTTAATAGGAAATTTTAATAAATACAATGGTTCTTCTATTGAAATTACGAACAAGTATGGTTAGGTTTAACTTGAAAACAAATTAAACATAAGGTGAAGTTTTTTTTTTATTATTTTGCAGAAAAGGTTTAAAAATAGTTTCGTTAGGTTAATACGTTCTTAGTACAAGGAGTCATACAAACCTCTAGTAATTTATAGGAAATTGTATACATTAATTTGTTTTATAATTAAGATTGAATAAGAAAATCGGCCATTTCCGTTTGCGGCGAGTGAGTAATTACCGTGAATCACAATGAACTTTGTTAAACGGTTGACGGCATTTTTTCACCGATGTGGCAATCTTGTCCGTTACATTTGGCCAGGGTGAAATTTGAATTTAAATGCGATTCTTGCTGTTGCTTGCAACTTTTACAGATCAGCAAAAACGACACCCTACCGCAACAGGTGTGCGTCGGCTGTGCCAAGACAGCCATATCGGCCTGCGTGTTCAAAAAGAAGTGCGAGGAGGCGGACACCTTTTATCGCCAGCAACTGAGACTCCAAAAGATCGAGGGTGCGGATCCGCTGGAGGCGAGCGCTGCCGTCGACCAGGCCAAGAGCAGCGGCTGCAGCAGTGGCAGCGGGAGCAGCAGCGCCAGCGGTAGCAGTTCCACCAGCAGCAGTTCCTCCTCCGACGACGAGGACGAGGACAACGACCAGGACCAGGACCAGGATAACGACAATGAAGTGGGCGCTGGAGAGGCACACAAGCGGCTGCATAATGGCCATGGCCAGGCCATTAATGGCCATCGGGAAGATGAGGTCCCCGAGGAGATGGATGACCATCACGAACCAGGCAACATCGATGAGGAACCGGATGAGGATCACCATCGAAATGGCCTTGAGTTGACGGATGATGCCAATCCCGAGGATGAGGATGATGTGGAGGAGATAAATCCCTTGAACCACCACCACCATAACGACGATGGCGAAATAACCGTCCACGGCGTGAATCCCAAGGAGCCGTTCGACTTCAACTCCATTCGTCTGATGCAGGAGTATATGCAACATCAGATGAACAAGTTCCCCAATGGCTCCGCCACCGGTCCACCGGGTCAGGACATGGAGCTCGATCTCGACCAGCGGCACCACCACCAGCACCACGATGGCGATGGCGACGATGACGATGATGAGGACATGTCGCTGCCGCTGATACCCGAAATCGAGTTGATCACGCCGGGCGATGAAGTTCCAGCGGATCCGTCGAATCCCAACGATTTGGTCAATGGTGTGGCCGGCGTTGGCGTGGTCCAGGGAATGCGTGGACCGGGCTTCCAGTGCCCCCATTGCTATCAGATATTCGAGATGAAGCAGATCCTCAAGGCGCACATGCAGAGCGTCCATGGAGCACCGGGTCCGGTGTACGAGTGCAGCAACTGCCGCAAGACCTACTTCTACAAGCGCTTTCTGGAGAAGCACATACGGCGCGGTCGGTGTGTGAAGAAGCGTCGCAACCAAACGTGAGTGTGGGGAAATCCTTTAGCGGAATCCGGTATTAATTTGATCTCCTCCCTTCAGCCGGCCGATGCAGTGCTCGGACTGCCATGTCCTCTTCCCCACGGGCCACCATTTGGGTTGGCATAAGCGCACCGGTTGCCCCTCGAAGGCGGCCAAAATGTGAGTGAATCCCCGAATGATGAAAACTGCATGGATTCTGGTTATATGACCGATTCGTCTATCGTTTCAGGCCCCTGCAGCAGCTTTTCAAGCAGAACATTGTGCAGTTTAACAATTTTCCCAAGCGGATCGCCGCCGGAGGAGCACGCAAGCCCACGGCTCCTGATCTGCATATCAACAATCGCAAGTAAGTGTACGGAATTGGATTCATGTTGAAAGAGGGCCCTTCTGATTCTGAACTGGTTTATTTCCCCCAGACTGGGCTTGGCCAACAAGCGAAAGGGACGCACTCGCATCAAGCTGGATGCCAAGAAGATTGCCCTGGCCAAGCAGTTGATACTGCGCGAGGCCACCACCACGGTGATTGCCAACGAGCTGAACATCTCGCGCACCTTCGCCTGGCGCCTGCGTAAGAGTCTGGTTAATGGTGTCAGTCTGCATGAGCGTGTGGTGGATCCCTCGCAGGAAGAGCAGCACCTGCAGCAGCAGCTGCAGCAACAGCAACAGCATCAACAGTTGCACTTGCAGCAGCAACAGCAGGAGGAGCAGCAGCAGGCAGCAGCCGCAGCAGCACAGGCCGAACGCGAACGGGAGCATCATCATTTGAGCCTTCCCTATAGCCACCTGGGCTTGGGTCTCATCAAAGAGGAGCGACAGGATAGCGAGGATGAGGAGGAGCAGCAGCAGCGACAGCAGCAGCATCTCCACCATTCGCACCACCAACTGGGCCTGGTGGATGAGTGCGGAGCGGAAGAGATCGGAGCCGAGGAAACGGCTGGCTATATGGGCGATGAGGATGCCGTTTGCGGGTTGCTCCACAATGGCTACGATCCCGATCCGGATTCCGATCCCATTGAACACGATCCCTTCGAGGGCACCGACAACAACAACGACCATCATTCGAATGGCAGACGGCCTGGTTCTGTTTCGCCCGCACCACCACTAGCGCCGTCATCGATGGGCAGTTCCGGTGGGGTCGGGGTTCCGGTGCCGGTGCAGGTCCATGCTGCTGCCGCGCGGACCGATGTTGAGGTCTATAAACGCCTGCTGGCCGAATCGCAGCACTTCCCCCACATCGTCAACGCCCAGCAGTTGCAGATGCAGCAGCAGCATCGCGAGCGGGAGCGGGAGCAGCGGGATCGCGAGCGGGAGCAACTGCAGCAGCAGAAGGTCCACAACGGCGGAATGCCGATGCTCACACGCTATCCGCCCGCCGTCATGTAAGTCTATTTTTTAACAACCAATAAAGGCATTTGTGGTTATTTAAATACCCAATAAAAGCTGTTTCCCACACTAGCAACTAATAATCGGAAAAGTATAGGCGTTCTATAGTATTTGAGAAACCATAAATTTATAAATACCCTTATCTTACCATTAGTCATAAATATTGCAGCTTAAATAATATGATTGGCAACCGTCCCTATCAAAAATATTCTCAAATAGTTAAAAAGGCAAAGATGGTCATCACGAAACTTGGCAAACGTGCTTTATATTATTTATTTAATTAGGTATTTGATTGGTAATGATATTATTAGAAACAGTTTCTATCATAATATCCTATAATATGTACAAGTGCTAGCTTGGCTATCGCAATTTTAAGTTTTACTTACTGTTTAGAGAATTCAAATGAGATAGGAAGAGATACGGGACATATACATACATAGTTGCAATTTAAAATAGATTGCAAATCTTATCATGATTTTATTCCGCATACAATAGGCACGCCCTGCCCGTCAACCTGTCCCTGCGCTCCATGCCCCACATGAACAGCAACGAGAGGTGAGTGTTGAAAGGGTACTTGCCTTAATAACTCAGTGAGCATATCCTATTAATACTTTAATCTATCCTTTTGCAGCAACGGCAGCTCCAGCAGCAACACCGCTGCCCCACTACCCGTTCCTGGCTCATCCGCAGCCACATCGACTGCCACTCCAACTGGCAAGAAGCCCCGCAAGCCGAACGTCTTTATCGATGACGAAAAGTACGCCATGGCGAAGTTGTTGGTGGCCCAGAACTCCTCCACCATGGAGATAGCCAGGGCCCTAAATGTCTCCCAAATGACGGCTTGGAAGGTGCGCGATGCCATTCTCAAGGGAGTGCCTCTGTCATACCGCAACAAGCGGTCCGATGGCAGGCATTCCGAGGAGTTTAGCGCCAAGGAGCAGCAGCAGCAGCAGCAGCAACATCAGCAACAACAGGAGCAGCAGCAACGCCAGCAGCAGGAGATGCAGCGACAGCAGCAACAGCAAATGGAGCAAATGGAGCTAATCAAGCAGCAACGCCAGCAACAGGAGTTGCTACTTCAACAGCAGCAGCAGCAACAACAGCAGCAGCAGCAACTGCGTCATCACACACCAGCGGAAACATCACACTATCAGCAGCAACAGACGCCACCGAAGATGCTGCATCCTCGCCGCCGCCTGAAGGCCGCGGAACGCGAGCTGCGCGACAAGGAGATCACACGCGAAATACTCGAGCTGATCAAGGAGGACAGCAACATTCAGTACTGGAAGGTGTCGGCTCGCCTGGCCGAGAAGGGCATCAATATATCGCCCTCGTCCGTCTGCCAGAAGCTCAAGTCGATGGGCATCCACCGACGCTGGAAGCCCGGCGACAAGCCGCCCATGCTGGCCATTAGTCAGCTGAAAGCGGCCACTGTGGCGGCCGCAGCAGCAGCGGCAGCTGGCCTGGCCGGCGTCGGCGGCGTTGTTCCGGGCAGCGCCGGACTGGCCGGCAGCAGTTTTGGCCTGGCCGACGACGGCTACGAGCAGCAGCAGTTCGACATGGGCGGGCCACACTTTCTCAGTGCCTTTACGCGCTAGACGATCGACCAAAAGTCGTCCTCCCCATCTAGGTCTAGATTAAAATGTAGAACGCATTGGAGTGGACGCAGAATCGTAGAGGGCATTCTTTAGGCAATTCGACTTGGAACTTGTAGGTCCAAATAAGAATTTTAAGCTTCTAAACCATTTCAAAGAAAATATACATCTAGGTTTATGATCATTGTTTTATAGCATACAGTTTCTAGAAGATACTGTATTATCTAAGTAGGCAATTTCAAACATTTTAATTTGATTTTACTCTGAACTCGTTATATTTTCTCGAGAATATTTATGAAAAACTTCTTTGCAGAACTGCCATTTGCAAGACGAAATGCCTATAAATTGTCGGGTTTAATACTATTTTTTTCGAGCCACCCTAATCCATATGCATATAGACCAGCACAGCAACAACAACTTGTATTTTTTATATAGTATTTGAAAGAGAGTGCGCGCTTGAAATGTATTTGTATTTGTAATCGATATGAGATAGCATATATTGTATGATTCTGTATTAGATTTATATATATATCCAATATATATGCTAAGCATTCCTAGAATGTCACACACACAAAGAAAACAGAAAGCACCCAAAAAAAAAACCATGTTCATTCCAAGCGAGGAAATCATTTCCTTGCTTTAATTTCAGCAGCTTCCTTTTCCTCTTCCTCTTCCTTCATCCACACACATACACTACACCAACACACACACACACACTTAGCTGATAATGTAATAATTTAATTAACATATTTATTGATCGCATGTTTTCGTGTGTATGTGTGTGTGCTTAAGCTGAGAAATGTATTTAAAGATTTGCATTATTTTTAATTTATTTATTTTTTACTCACGCACACACACATATGAGCAATTATTCAGTACTGAACTTTAATTTAGTTAAATTAATGCATCAAACGATGAAATAACAATCAGAACAAAGCAAACGGAAGCAGAACAAACAGCAGCTAGAGAGAAAGTTAAGAAAGCTAGCAACATAAGTGCAATTATAAACTATACCTAGAAAACCAGATGAATGTATAATGTATTACGTGTGACCGAGACAGAAGGTGGGAGAGTGAGAGAAGGGAGAAAGAGAGGCAAAACTGGCCTAAACACCACTGAACATTTTTTAAGTTCCCATTTTAGAAAATATTTATTCGAAAATCATGAGTGTTAGTTCTCACCTCTTAAAAACCCCTTATTTGCCAATTATGATTTTTAAGCATTTCATTTTAAATCGCCAATTTATAAATAACTGTTGTTTTTGGTTAAAGTGTAGAAACAAATTTTAAATTCTAAAATAAGTTTAGGTCAATTAAAACATCAATTAGTTTTATTTTAGAAAAACCTTATACATTCCCAAAGACATACCAAAATTCTAACAAAAAAACTGCAAGTCCATACATACAAAAAATTGCGTTTTTGTGTGTTTACAGTGGTGTTGAGCCATCAATTTAATAACTTTCACTCCCTAACTTTTCTCCTTTCTTTCTCTTGGTCGTTTTCCATATAGACAGTTATTCTAAATCCATCCTCCAACCAAGCCCAAAATTATGTAAAAAAAATTATGGAAACAATACAAACGATCAACTTAAAAAAAGTCGTAGCCAATTGTTAGTTGAAAGTGAGAAAAACAAATCCACAAAAGAACAAAGCGGAAAAGAGGGGAAATGAAGACAAGTTAAGCTGAGGACTCAGAACTGTATTTATTTACAGCCAATTTAAGAAACATATTTTATTATTTTTTTGTTGTAGTGGATGAAATTCAATTTGTCTGCGATTTATTTTTGTATAGCTTTTAAGGTCAGCAGTTAGAGCAAAGGAGAAAGCAAGAGAGAGAGAGAGAGAGCGAGAGAGCGTTAGCGAAGGTTGATATAGTATTTTTTTTATATTTTTGTACAATTTGAAATTGTAACTGCTTTTTATCAATCAATCAATCAATGAATGATTCCCTCCCTCTACCAAACCACACACATACAAAAACACACACACGCATACTGTGCAAAGTATTTTCAATATTCATTACATACAATATATCCATATATAAATATGTAACATTTAAACGCATAAGAAACTAAATTTATGAAATAGTTTTTTTTTGTTTTTTTTATATATCATATTTATTAGCCGCAGCTTATAAAATAGATTTACAAAAATGATTACAATTTTTTTGTATGAAATGCAAAGAATGATGTCTATGAAATATAATTTATTATACATAAATATACATATATTTTAAAGCGTATAATAGTAAGGATCCATTGCAAGCAGCATCAACAAATAGAACTGACGTGCCTATGTAGCGATTAAATCTGACTAAACACCCACACACGGATACACCCAACTACACACACCTAGAGACAAGCCGATGTAATGCATTAAATAATCATTCCAAAATGTCATATGAAGGAAAAGAAACGAAACAAAAAAAACAAGCAACATTATATATTTTTAAATGAATAAATAATATTTCAAGAAAGTGTTCAAATTGTGGGATTTATTTCCATCTTCTTGGCTAGTTCATCAAAGTTTTGTCGAGTGTGGGGAAAGTAGCTTACGATTTTCCTAGTTGCAAAGCACCCGGTGTTTATTATACCAAGTTCCTAAAAGAAGGCAATGTCTTCGTGAACAGTTTAGCAGAAGAAAAGCTTTCGCATATCTATTGCTATTTCTCGCAGACTCTACTCTTAATTATCCACTCATCCACTTATCACAGCTGTGCAAAAATCTCCCCTCATAATTTTCCTTTCTTGAAAAGATACGTATACGATAAATTTCATTTTATTTGTTTAAATATATATGGTATCTTTGAAGAATGAACAGAAATATATGTTGTTAAGTCCAAAAATCAGTAGGCTCAATATAGAACTGTCTAGAAACATAGTCAGAAAGCACATTCTCCCAGAAGATTTATGTGACACGACAAAATCTTCTGTGTTTCCAAATTAATTTCTTTATCTTTGGCAATTCAATTTGGAGATTGAAACTTTTTTGTTATTAATATTTCACATATGTATATGACGCAAATGAACATTGCTAATCTATTTTTATGATTTCTCTTTTAATAGATCTTTCCCACTTGCGAACTTGTGCACGTGTTGATACGTCTGGGATCTTCTCTTTTGTATTATATTGTATTATACGTTTTTCCACCCCCAAGAGGAATACTTCGGCAGTTGTTTGGCTATATTTATTTGTCGGCGGATTTCTTTGAGACATGCACGTCCAATTCTGTTGAGTTTAGTTAGGTAAACACATGGGTACTTTTGTTGAATCTGTGAGTCTGCGGATCTGGGCAATGTATTTATTTAATTAACGCTAATTCTGACCTGCTGGCCGGCTCTACGTCCTCGTCAATATTTTTCATTCATTGAGCAAATAAACATTAGCCAAGTCGCGTGTTCTATTTGAAATCCGCAGATGTGCCCCTGGTTGAATTGATCTTGAATGGGATCGAACTCGGCAAAGTTCAGATAAGGCTTAAGATAAATCACTTGGACTTTTAAGCTCCTTTTTTCGTAAAACCCCCTTGGTTCCAATAAAATACGATTTATTCGTGGTTTGTTCTTTTTTTTTATTAGTTTTTGTTGTATATATGTAGCGTAACTTGTAATAACGTAACTAAATTTTACAAATATTTTTTCACTTCCTGTGCTTTGGTCCTACATGACGAAAAAAAAACAAAAAAAAAAATTGGTTTTGATATTATATGTTTAATATATAGATAAAGTTATATACGTATGTGTTTTACATTGGATGCATTAATAATAGCAATAATAACAACAATAACGGACAGCAGAGTGGCGAGAACGATGGCGATACTATGGACCCGATAACGCTCATGTTCTTCTGGGTTCTGGGTTCGGATCCCCTGTTCCTGGCCTTATCTTTACCGTTACTCAGCCCCTCTGCTGCTGCTTCAGCCGGCGCCGGCGCTTGCCAAATATATATTACTCTCTACATATCGTACATAAACATATACATCGACTTCTATCGATCCTACCTGCTATATCTTCTCGCTGGCTTGGGGTTTTCTTTGTTTATCATCTGGGCAAGATGATGCCATCCAAAATCGGATTCTAATCTCTCTCTTGATATATCTTCTATATCATCACTTTTCTTTTCTCTCGATATGGGATGGCCTTTCTCTTGCCCATTTCTGATTGATTTTTGTTGGTTCGTTTAAATTCCAATAGATAGATAGACATTTGTAGGGGCGGGGTGGGGGTGGGGCGTTTAAAATTAGACACACAAAGAAAATCGTTATTGCTATCGTTAAATAATTACTGACGATACAAATAATCGTGTATTGTAGCACACACATACCATATATACACAGATAAACCCCGATCCTCTGGCGGGATGGGGCGAATGGAAATTACTTGTGGGTCGGGTGGGGGGGTTCTGTTAACTATTTCTGATTGGTGTTTTAAATAAAAATATTTAAGCCATACGTCCTGAACCCAAGATGATGAAATATCATCTCAGCACAGGGCATACGGTGGTTAGTTTTAGAAGAAGGTTCTATGGGTTTTGGCTGGGGGCTATCATTAGTTGTATAGGCATTTAGTTGAGTTCCTTGCGCGTCGTATTGGGCAACAGGAGGCACATGAGACCGCCGCCGATGAGCAGGCCCGACACGATGAACGTGGGCGATGGACAGTAGTGGTCCAGCAGCTGGGCGATCACGATGTTGCCAATGATGCCGCCCAAGCGGGCGGCCACCATCGAGATGGCCACACCGGTGGCCCGCAGCTTGGTGGGGAATACTTCGGTGATGAGGCAGTCGAGTGCCGCATTGGCCGCCGATATGGCGCCACTGAAGATGGCCGAGACGACCAGATTCTGGACGGAGCTGCGCACAAAGTACATCAGCGCCGAGCAGATGCCGGCGGTCATGGTGCCGGCGATCAGGAAGAACTTCCTGCCCAGCATGTCCATGCCCAGGATGGCCATCAGATTGGCCGGCAGGGCGGAGGCCAGCGATATCAGCGATTCCATGAACACCGATTGCGGAATTTCCGACGAGCAGGTGCCATTTGTGATTTGCTCCCTGCCCTTCTTGACCACGTACTCGGTGACTGTACAAACGCCGGCCGATTTGCCCGGGAAGGCACTCTCGTACTCCTCGTAGCGATTGAACAGCTCCGGGAACCACATCAACAGGCCATAGTAGCCAATGTGGAATGTAAAGTTGATCGTGATCGAGACGATGGTGAATCGCAGAATGGGCGACTTGAACAAGGCGCGACTGTGATCGACCATCCCGCTGATCATGCGGCTATACTTGTTCTTCGTACTGCCATTGCTCTCCAGCAGCTTTTCGTCGACCTCCAGGTCATAGACCATGTACTCGTCGGGCCGACGTTTCGTGTTCGTGACGAAAATGCCACGGAAAATAGCCAGGGCGCGATCCTTTTTGCCGCGCGTCAGCAGGAATTTCGGTGATTCCGGCAGGTAGAAGAGCAGGAAACCGACCAGGAACGAGGGCAGTGAGCAGACCAGCAGGAAAATCCTCCACGAGTTGTACCTAAAGTAGGGCGTTATGAAGCCGATCGATCGGGGGATGATCAGCCAGGCCAAACTGGCCACGAACAGGTTGCCGAACGTCCAGAAGGCGGCCATGAAGCTTAGCATGGAGCCGCGCTTTGCCTTCGGTTGGAATTCGGCGAAGTACGACCAGATCACAGGACCACTGCCGCCCAAACTGCAAAGAAAAAGGTTTATTGGTTATCGACAAGTAATCGAAAAAATCGAGAAATAATCGGAGCTTGCAAGAACATGTACATATGTCCCAAACAAAGCACTCGATTTTATGTCCTGAAACTACGAAGCAAAGAAACTACGAAAAAACACCTACACCTGATATGTTTTTAAAGGTACCTATGCGTATGCGCTGTTTTTTCAGTATTATATTACGTATACGTAAAGTATTTCACATTTTACGAAAACAACCAAGTATTTGGAATCCAACGAAAACAACGAAAAATGCAATTGTGAAATAATTGTTGCCAGTTCGCTGTGGGTAATTAGCAAACGATTGGCAAAAAATAATGTTAAATATAGGTGAGCATGAGGGGAAACCGGTGACTAAGCGTCAATGTAACCCAAAAGCCAGGGGGCCAAGGCCTGAACTGAGATTTTCCATTTGCCTGTGGTGTTTCGCTGTATTTTTGATAATTTTTGCGTTCGTTACATTTTGGGCCATTTCGATCGGACCTGGGGATTCGAGCCTTTAATTAGCATAAACAGTCACGACATTGCGGCTCAAATATTTTGTTGTTATTTATAACAGAGGTAATTGAATTAACACTTTGCCCCGGGTCCGGGCCCGTGTGTCACTCGATCCACAAATCGATCACAGAGCGATGATCCACGGCTACATAGAGCGGTAATATCACCTCATCGATTGGGTATTTTTGCAAGCCACCGAGGCTCTTGTTTGTGGGATGTCAGATGGTAATACAATCATATCATATAAAAAGAAAAAAATTCGGAGTACTAATAATGTAATATGCTAACAAATAGATTAGCAATTGGTTGAAAGTAGGATACCGTACAGAACGGAAATGTTGGCTAATAGATTATCGATTTGGAAAACTAGTGGGCTATCATAAGGACTTATATCGATAAAAAGCGGAATATCATAGAGAACTGATATGTTAATGTTATGTTATGTTCTATTTCGAAAAAAAAACGATATTATAAAGAACTGATATGATAACCAAAAGATTATATATTCGGAAAACCAGAATTGATATAGTTACTATGATATTATCATTTGGAAAAAAATACTATTAGCTATAGATCTTATTTTGTAATGTTTTTTACAAGGGTCAGGATAGATTCAAGGTACTTACGCTGCACCATTGAGGAATCGGAAGAGCATGAAGAAGCTGTAGGACTGCGAGAAGGACGAGGCGACGATGCAGAAGGCGTTCATAAACGAGATGACGATGAGGACCTTCTTGCGGCCAAAACTGTCGGCGATGCTGCCCCAGAAGTAGGCGCCCACCATCATGCCGATGAAGATGATCGAGTTCAGCCAGCCCTTGGTCTCCGTGTTCAGATCCAGGTCACATTCCGCCGACGGCAGGATGAAGGACATCGAGATGACGTCCATCTCCTCCGATGTGCTGACCAATCCGCAGATGGCCAGCAGTATATAATGGAACTTGCCATAGCCGCACAATTCGATGGCCCTCTCGAAGTTGGCGACTATCGGGGCGGTGGGTTCCGGCAGGGGGATGGACTTCTTTCGGCCCTTGCCGGGCTTGCCCCCCTTGCCGCCGCCATTGCCGGGTGGCCCATGACCCCCGTGACCCCCGTGATCGGGGGCGTCCCGCTCTACGTCCTGCTGCTTGCCATTGCTGGCATGGCTATCGGACTCGTAGCCGCGATTGTCCGCCGCAAACTGATACTCCGGCTGCTTGGCTCCGGTGCCCAAGGAGTACGGCTGGATGATCGCTCGGTTGTCGATGTGCGAGGTCGCGTTTCCGGTGGCTGGGGCGTTGACCTGGCCAGTGGGATGGTTGCTTGCTTGGTTGCTTGCTGCGCTCTGGTTGTAGTTTGGTTGTAGTCCAGCTTCTACATTATAGGCTGAAAATGGGGATTAACCATTGGTAAGTAATTTTAATAACTCAATAACTATTAGCAGGGATCTTAAGATCCACTCGATAAATATTATTTCAAGTCGTAAACTTTTGAATCTTATAGTTTTTTAAAATATATATAATACTTACATTCGCTTTTGCCCTTTGCGGAATCACCTTCTACCATTCTATAGTTCAGGGGTTTTTTGGCTTCTTGTGCGCGTAGCAAAAAAGAAATTGGGATTACTTGTCGGGGTTTTTTGGTTGCTTTTTGCTCTAAGCTCTGCTTAGATGGGTACAGTTGTGTCTGCCTCGCTTAGCGGTCTGCAATTGAAGAGAGAGAGAGAAAGAGATGTTATCGATTAGTTAACATCATCGATCGATCGATTGATCGTTTCGACACTTCGAAACAGGGGGAAGTGGTTTAATTTAACGCAATTGGGCGGCAATTGAGCTGAATGAATGAACGATCTGCTCGTCGCGCACAAACAACATCGTAATTGATTAATAAAAAATTATGCCCGAAATAGTCGAGAGCACAGAAATTAACCGAAAGTGTCGAAGGCGTGAAAAACCCCCATTTTGGGTCGACATTTTTATTAACAAATAATTGGGGGAGCTGAAATTTGTCGTATATTTGAATGCCTCTGGTCAGGCAGTGGGTGGGGGTACATATTACAAACATGTTTAGACATAATAAAGTAATGAGAGTTCTGTAATTATTTATTTTGGGAAATATTTGTTATTCGGTTGCTAATTTAAACGAATTGGAGAAAATAATTCGATGAGAGGAAAAGAGTCTTTACTCGAAAAGCTTTTAATTAAGAGATTTGCGATTTTCTTTTGCTCTACCCGATAATTTAAAATTCAGTTCGTGATTTATCTTTCACTTTATTCATTAGACAGGAGCAACAACAATTGCAAATGGGCATCAGAAATCATTTGATTCGTATTCGCAATCGCATTCGCATTGAACCTGAACCTGAACCTGCCGTACGCATGTGCAATGAAGGAGAACAGGAACCAAAACCGCAACGGCAAACGCACTGGGAGAAAATATGGTTATTAGCCAATTGAAGTTAAGTATCTTAAGCATCAAAAGTGTAAAGCTTTCTAGACTTTAATGTGAAATCATTTGTATCCCCCACAATCTCATATCATTTTTGAAGCAAAGCATATTTTTGCTCAGCCCAAAAATGATAGGATATCATTGCTTTGAGATGCATTCCTAATTTGCATCCCATTTTGTTTTGTGTAGGAGCGAGTTCCGCAACTCTCAGCTGTCCGTCACTCGTGGGTGGCTGTGTTCCATTGCCACTGCGTTCCGTTCCGCACTCTCCCTCTTTTAAGCATAAAGACAATCGCCAGCAATTAGCCATGTTTTATTATGAATATATGCTGATTTATGCCCTGGACGACGATTAAACGTAAACACCTACACCTACGCTTCCGCAAACCGGAGCCACATGGCCCTTCACCTGGCCTTCGTACCAGTCCCAGTTCCACTCCCGATCTTATTCCTATTCCCATTCCCATTCCCATTTCATTTCCCCCGGCTATGCGATGCTCCCTGGAAAGTACAGTCGCATCTCTAATTGCTAAAGCCATCGGGAAATATGATGTAAAATATATTTTAAACATATTCATTTAGTTTCACTCGCTAAGTTTGCTCCCATCAACTTTCGCGTGGAACCATGATTTATGGAAATGCGACGCGAAAAATGTTCTAGCCATAGAAGTACGACTGTATAACTCTACTATGCTATGTATTAGCGCCATAAAAACGCACCTGTTTCCAGTTTAGCTGTTTAACAAGTCGCATTATAATGATTGTCTTTTTCAAGCGCAATTAAAGCAGCGCAACTGGAAAAACTGCGTGTGAATGGAATACCCCGGACTTGACTTGGTCCCAGCTTTATAGTCGGGGCCTCAATGTCATCCGATTCCGATTCCGAATCCAAATCCGATGCATGTGATGGATGCCAGGGGAAGGTAGCAAGATATGAAGGTAGGTAGGGGGCCTTAGAAAATGGGGCTTGGGTGGACCGTACTTGTGCAGTGCTTTTGCGCCTTTGCATATATCTCAAATTAATTAGCACATAAAACCGAGACCCGGCTCTAGACGTTGGGGCACTCAGCCTGATGATATCGGAAATAGTGCGCTTGGAAGTCTGAATGAACCCATAAAACTACAGATTTTAACAAAACATTTGTGGGAATTGAACCACTCAACCGATTACCAAACCAGTGCAAAAAAAATGACTCAGAGAAATTGTTTAGATTCTCTTTAAAATGGATATGTAAGCAAAACATTTACATGCGCTATTTTGATTTAGTATTACTACTATTATCTGTAAAAATTAGGTAAAATATATTTTTTTCATTGGGAATTTTCTTTTTTCAGACTAGCTTTTATTTGGTCTTTAAGAGTCTGCGAATAAGGGTTCAAAAAAAATTCTGAGTTGGTGATGATCAGCGCTTTCTTTTTATTTATATAACTTCCGCTTGGTTTTTTCTACTAAAGTTGCAATTTGTAGTACAGAATATGCGGTTTGTTAACTGGTAGTACTGCTAAATTAGCACAACTTTGTTTTCGATGATTGGCATTCCATTACCTGTTGGCTGGTTTTTTCGGCTTGTGTTCGTTTTTGACCTGGAGATCTTTGGGTTTGCTTGCACCTGTGTTTCGGGGGCTTATTGTTTGGCAATTAATTTTTTTTGCGTTCTGTTAAATTTGAACAAAATGTATTCTTTTTGCACCGTTTTAAATATTTGTTTTTACTGCGCGGTTACGCCCTGTATTTTTGCACTTGTTTGGCGTTTGTTTATTTTGACTTGTGGCTGGTGGATTAAATTTTAAAAAATTGCTCGTCAGCTCAGGGTGGACTGTTTGTGTTTCTGCTTGTAGTGGATCTTGGCGTTGGTGGTGCGCGGAGTTCTCAGCGAGGTTTGGCAATTGTTGCAAACTGGCGAAAACATTAAAACCGTTGGCTGGCACTCAAGGGGCGACTGGCAAAGGGCATCGAAATCGATGGATGGACGAAGGAAATGGGAATTTCTTTTCTTTTCTTGGATGCTACGATGCTTATGATATTACGAGCTGTAACTTAAAGCGGCGCTTCGGCGTTAGCGGTCTCTCGATCAACGTTCGGGCACTTCGAGCGGTGGAAAGTATCTGAGCGGTGTTCGACGTCCGCTTAAATACACAGAAATCGCATCCGCGGAACGGGCGGCAATGGAACGCGGCTTATCAGCCGCTCAGCAGCGCCCCCACCCCCTTTTACCGTTGTGCGCCGCCTGGCCGTTCCATTTCCGTCGTTCCGCCTGCGCGCGCGCTCACTAATTGAAATTCAAATTGCGATCATCGCCGAGTGCGACCAGCAATTGCAAATCAATTAAATGATAACACCAAAGAAAGCAAATCAAAGCCAGAATTGATCAGCGGATCAGGGGAGTGGCCTCGATACGATTGAATTCCTCCAGAGATCAGGACAAAAGAAGAGGAAAATCGCAGCTACAACTCTAAAACACGTTACATTTGTAATATATCCCCAACGATATTTAAATATGAACATAATAATCCTCTAAGAAAACTTTCTTTTATATAATACTAATGGAAAATTTTTCAGAGTCACTTTCTTTATGTTTTATTTGGATCTATAAATAAATAAACCGATTACTAGTTTGGACCATGGCCAAAATTACTGAAAATTGAAAATGTCTCATAAATCAAGTTTATGACCTCGAATATTATTGAGTTGTCCGCAAAGAACCATATTTTTCCGGTTTTCCAACTGATTTTTGCTAAATTACTTAAACGGCTTGAAATCTCTTGCGTTATTCTGAATGAATCAATATGGTTATTTGGTCAGTTTGCTAAAAGCATTACTTACGGTTTTAAAACAATAATAAGAAATGAAAGATTTAGGGACAATTTATGATGCGTTTGGGAAAGAAACCCCAAAATCGTGACCGGATCGTGATCTACCTTGATCCCCAAAAACAATTCGGGTGAGTCAAGTTCAGTATAATGACCATCGATCGCATAACGTAACTGGCCGATCGGGTGACAAGACCGATGAGAATTCAAAATTCGACTTCGGATCCCTTTTTGCGAACAATTAACGGCAGCAGGCATCGGCTTAAGTGATCAAAAGAATTATACTTGAGACTTAATAGCGACATTATCATTGTTGTTGATATTGTTACATATAGCGAGCGTATGTATGTGGATTATAAGTATTGTTGTCATGGCGATTACTGATACTACCACTCGATCGCAGCGAGCAATGATCGTGTAAGCTGGCCATGTGACTTGTGAGCCTCAAAAAGAAGAATTGAAAAGTGCTTTTCAAAACAAAGATCAAGAAATTAATGATCTATTAGCGTTTCTAAAGTGATGCAATTTGAGGAGCTCATTTATCATTATATCATGCGAAAAAATGCCATAAAGTCGATCAATTCTGTCTAATTGCTTAATTGTTAGCCGCATATTGGTGGGAGTTTTTCGCTCAGTGAGTCATCTGTTTTTCGGGTTGTTTATGCGGGCTTCAATACCGCGAACAAAGGGAACCCCAGATGGTCACCTTCCGAGTCCAAGAACACCCGCCCAAGACGACGACGTGACTCTCTCCAGAGTCGAATTCAGATTAGGGCCTTGCATAATGGGCGATTAGTTCGGAGGTAGTCGTAACCTGACGCTAATTTCAGTTTGCTTCGTTTGGCAAATTATCGCACCTCTGACCCACAGAAGAGCCGCACAAAAGATTGGATGTCAGTGGGGTGCGGAGTGTACGTGTTCTTTGTTCGGTTCTCGTTTCGCTTAATATTTGCTAACCGTTTGTTTAAGCCGCCCACAATTAATTTAATTAGACATTGTTTGTTGTCACGAAACGAACACGGCTAATTGAAAATTATGCTAGATGAGGGACAGCTTAAATTGCGATCGTAATAAATGGTAAGGAAATGAATAGAACTCAATAAATACGATCGTAACGGTGGGGGCCTATGGGTTCCTGCCCAGACTAAGGGCCCCATGGTTGCTGCCCCCGCTAAGTTCAATTTGGGGCGTATGTGGCCATGGGTGAGTTTAATCTACAAACAATAACAGAGCCGATGGGCCTCTATATACGAAAATAAAATGATTTCCCACATATACAGGAACATATATGTATATTCTATATGCACATTTATCTGTTCGTACATATATGTACTGGCTATTGTTGCTGAATGTTAATCAAACTGCGTGTGTTGGAAACTCGTTCGAATCGGTTTTATATTTTCCTTCGCCCCAGAGCATGTTGTTTCCACATCTTCAGCTCGTCTTCAATTGAACAGACCAGCATTTGTGCTCCTCTGGTGATCGCTGCACAAACATTTCAATTAATTGACCACTTTCAATTAAAGACAATGTGCGAAACGAAAACAAAAGCCACCAAGAGAGCGTGAAAATACTGAATTCGAGTAACGAATTACGACGAACTACGAGGAACTCGGAATTCCGATTTGGGTATCCAATAAACAACGGATCGGATCGCCTCGCTCTATGACTGATAATTCAAAACAAATAAACATGACTAATAGGCTCCACAGATCGCTGGAGATGTTGTTGTCGGGAGAGAGTGCGAACAGCTCTGGGTCACAGTGAACCCTCTCCGGAAACGATCTACCGGCTCAGCAACAAGTTCCCAAAGCTATTCCCGATCCGTGTGATTCAGAGGACCTGTGTACTGAGCTGAGCTATGAACCACTAAGAACTAAGAATTTTTAGATGGCGAAAAATTCCATAGTTATGCCAGAGGCACAGAAAGAAATTCGTAGGATTATTAAACTTTTGGAGTCTGCATCAGTACTTGTAACATTTTAACAGAATGCTCTTTTGGAGATATATAATCTCAAGATATCCTCTTGAATTCCATGGTTATGCCAAAGGCACTACAAGAATTTCGTAAGATTTTCCAGTACTGGTGACTGTTTGGAGATATATAATCTCAAGATATACCCCTAAATGCTCTTGAAATATTCCAGAATATTTTAGAGGGGCCCGAAACCTTTTGGGAATTCGAGGATTACGAATATTTGCATTAATCTGGCCCAGGTGTTTGCCTGCCTTCCGTTTTTTTCTTCAATCTGGTGTTCACTTTGGCAAACGAAATAAATGTTAATATTGCGATTTGCTTATTCCACTTGTATTCTTTTTTTGAGTTTCGCGGGCGCGCGACAATTTAGTTTGCATAATTAATTTATGCGTATTTGTTATTTTCAGCTGTTGCAAAGTATTTTAAACGGCAAAAAAAACCAAAAAAAAAAGGAGAAGCAAAAATATTGGAATAAAGAATATGGAATAATGCCCCTGGGGGGGCAGAAAATAATTTGTTTTGTGCCTCCCTGAATCGGAATCTGAACCTTATTTACGGGCAACAGGAAGACTTGCGCCGCCCGCTGAATCACCTTGCCCATTGTGTTTTATCCTTGGGGCAGGGGGAGCGTTTCTTATAAATGGTGGGGGACATGCCCGGGATATACTCGGGGGATACGCACCTACTAAACTGCTGCTGCTGTCCTTGTGCCGACGATGTCGACGATTTCGGTTTCGAAAGAGTGCTGTTTTCGAAGAGACTCGATGCACGGCGGTTGGGCGAGTGGAATCGGGATATATAGATCACGGTATCACTGGTTGGAGGAGCTCCACGCGGCTCCAAGAGCGATTGGACAATGCGTTCCAAGTTTCGTTGGGCCGACGCTTTTATAAGCGCCAGCCAGTGCCCCGCCCCCCCGAACCCTGCCACCATCAGCCGCCCCTTTCTGATACTTTTTTCTCGGGATGCTGACTGTTCTGCTCGCTCTTCGCATTCGCGATCTCACAATCTGTGTGTGCCTGCCACTCTCGGGGGCACTCGGTTCTTAGCTTGTTTCTGTTTCACTCGGTTCTGTTTCTTTTTCGCTATGTTTTTTGTTTTTGGTCGCTCTTGACGTTATCGCCAAGGGATCGGAAACCAAAAAAAAAATAATATAATAAAGATGAGATGGGGCAGCATCAGCGATGTCGCCCTCCGATGCTTATCACTGGGCTCTCAGCCGCTCTTATCTTCCGACTGCTCTGCTCGTAATCGCAACAATGTACGGGTGTGGGGGTGTACGGGTGTACGGGTGTACGGGTATACCCGTGTGCCGGTTGTGCAAAAACAAGACTTGCAATCTTTATGGCTCGCTTCAAATGCAATGCTCTTCCTCGATTGTATAACTCGTAATTGGCCAGCACTACGGGCTTGCCAAAAGTATGCGAGTATTTTTGGCGAGGTCCTTCGCGCCGGATCGGGTGTGAATCGGTTACAAGCGGGTTGTGGTTAAACGGATTTCGGATCACTGAAGCATGACAACCAGCAAGGCTTTACAAAACGGTTATGCAGCGGTAAGAATCAACTTTGTGTAATATTGGTAATATATCAACACATAAATGAGGCATCGGGATAATACGCAATTGATAGGTTGACGATTCATAACTTTGGGCTAAAACCGCATTGGTTTTTGAAAAGCTCATAGGGATTATATTTAAATCGCTTATGAATTGGTTAAGAATGATTCTCTTACCCAAACGAATCGCTTAGTCATGGGCATAGCTGGACATGAGTACGATTTTGAAACGGGTATGAACCAGTTGAGCGATCGGTATGGACCAGCTAGGGGTTGATAATGCACTTTGGCACTTTTATGCGGCCAAGATGCCTCATAGAGCGGTACAAGTACCACGGTTAAAAGCCAATCGGATTCCGTATCGACATCGAAATCGCGGCAGGGTGCGCAGGGTCCCAGAAATCGCGCGTCAACAATATCCAGGCGATACAGAAATAGCTCTACGAATATATATATTAAATATATATGGTCATATGGTAAGTGTGCGTGCGAATTCAGTGCCTCTCTCGCGTTTTTTGTCGCCTCGCATGTGTCGGAATTATTTGCGTGCTGGTCTTTCGCCTCCTCGGCGCCCCCAGTGCCCCCTAAGAACCCCATTCCCATTCCCCGATTCCCGGGCGGCGGCCAAAGATCTACGTAATTTTTCAGTTTCATAAAAAAGAATATCTTTTTGTGTGTGCAAAGGTTTTTTCCGCAGCCCGCTGCCATGAAACAGAATCGAGAGCTCGTCCAAGATCAGCAAAACGAATGCTAGACAGTTTTCCATATCGTATAGATTTTGGGAATAATTGCACGGAATTTTTATTATTTTGGGTTCTTTTTTACGAATTGGATTGGGCGAGTGTTTTATTATGTTATTTTCGAGATTCTGAAAAACATGGTAAAGGACTCAGAAGAATTGCCAAGTCAATATGTATGTCGCGAATTAGCACAGTACAATGGTCTTTAAATATTCGCGCGTTTGGACTAGGGAACTTTGAGATCTAAAGAAACCGTATATAGTCGACACACATTAAGCATTTATCATTTAATGGTTGACAATTAGGTCGGCAATCAATTTTAAATACTCAATATTTAACAATCAACAAGCAGCCTTCTACATACCACATTAAACAGTCAATAATTAATAATTAACATTAAACGTTTTATACTTAACATGCAACATACAATATTCCACAAAAATTAAGATCTTTAAACATATTACATGTTTGTTTATGCTAAAATAGTGTTAAACTAATGTAAATATCATAGCAATAAAATTTACAATTGGCCACGTCATCGATAAAGTCAATTAAGAAATAATTCCCGCATTGGGTACTTATAATTCCCAATTAGTTCTAGCTGAATATTTATGACCTAGGTGCTATGACAGTCGATAAACCAATTGACCGGAAGTTCTGTGTTGGTGTTTGTGGAGTGTTTGCGGGAGATATAGGGAGATGCTATCGTACTGGAACTGGACTCCAGGATGCAGTGCATCGAGGGTCTTCCCGGGTATGTACTTTATATACATAGGTAATAAATTCTGAGAAATTTCAATACAAATAGTAACTATTTCCCATTAGACCGGAGCATTCCTATAAACCATTACACATGCAAATTCGGTGGCTGCACTTAGCCAATGCAATGTGGATCAGCTAAATTTAGCGACTTTTTTATTTTCGTCACTCATCTTTTGCAACTCGGAGTGGACCCCAAGCAAATATTGGCCCAGCCGCCCATCCGTGCGTCCAAGTTCAGTGATGTTTGCCCGGCTGTCATCACTCCCAGTTGGCTGTCAGCCCTCGTGACCAGGCACTCTGCTTTTGTTGCTCATTTTTGGACAGCCCGATGTGTGTCCTTTGACTGTCAAGGTCCGTATCATCTTAACTCGTCTTCAAACGCCATCAAAGTCAAAGTCGACTCCCCATCCAAACCAAACCCTTCCCTTCCCAAGTCATCACTCCTCCTCCTCTGATCTTGATCTCTGTGTACACTGCTCCTCATGTGGGACTGACGTCAGTGGAAATTTGTGTAGACTTTATGAGGCTGCGGCTTAAAGTTTGTTGATGTTTTTTGTGACTGCTGCCACTGGGGATTTATGGGCCACCCACACGGAGATACTCCGCTTATCGGCGAGTCGTTTATCAGGCATAAATCTGCCTACTCCGGCATTTCTGCGTCGGAATCTGGAAAGAGTTGGACCCCACGATCTGGGTTCTTAGCAGAAAGTATGTATCTTTTGGAAAACAAAGATATTTGGTGTACCAAACGCCCCCAATAATCTTTAAATGAGTTTAGACCATGGAGATTTTCCTATATTTCATATCAATTAAAAGCGATGCTAAGAATTCAAACAAGTTGACAAGAATCTCAATCATTTTTAGAGCTATGCACTTCACTGATCTCGCCTTGAACTATCTACACAGAAATAGATACAAGATCATGGGCACATGCTTGATTGTTTTTCCGCTCTCTAAATAGGTGAAATAGCATTTGATTGGTTCTCCATTGATTCTATCCTGACTTAATGTTTTAGATAAACGATGTACCCCCTTCGTAGCCTACTGATCCTTCAATGGTCTCTATAGAGTCATGATCTTGGACAATTGCTGGCATTAGTCTAGCTTATCACCCACTTTGATGGTCTATCTTTAGCTTTACGACCTGCCATTTCGGTGAGCAGCAACATTATAACGTTGAAAACATCAACATTATAATTGGCTTAGTGGGGGCTTTTTCCTAACGCTCTTGTTTGGATTTCAGAGCTCCACTGACGCAAAACAGAGAATTCTTTGGGTCACGTGAATCGAAAGTGCCAAGTCACTTTTGGCTACGCAGTGTCTATGGTCCAACTGGTCCGGTTTTGCCCCTTAGCCCCAAACCCCTTCCGAACCCCTTCCAACTCCCCTTGGAAACCCCTTCCCAACCCCTTCCCTCCAGTCAAATGGAAACCGAAATAAATGCGCACAGCTCGCGGGCTTGATTAATCATTGCATGCTCAATATCAATTAAGACAAGGGGAAAAATACGAGATCGGTTCTCTGCCCCAGAAGGGGTTATATCTATATGGCTTCATGGAAAGAAAGGGAGGGCGAAAGCCAAGAGAATGGGTTGGAGAGAGAGAAGAAAGGGGAGGAGAAGCAGAAGCGATGACTAATTCAAGGGGCTTAAGCAGAAATCAATTCAATGCCCAATTTCAACAACATCGACCGAGACGAAAACAACAACCAGAAGAGAGTGGGGCACATTCTACATTCTGCATTCTACAGTCTACAGCCTCCAGTGCGAACCGGTTAGAACCGATGCCAATCAACCCGCTGAACCTTTAAGGCAGCTACGTCATTAGAATCAAAAAGGGGCGACACCGAGACGAGGCCTTCAGTTCCGCAGATCCATTCGGAAGCGATCTGTATTGGATCCTCAGATCATTTGCCATGGGATTCCGAAGAATTGACCAAGGAACACCACCTTATATTAAAAGCCGATCGAGATATTCAGATCCTTAAATCATTTCGAAGTTGGTTCCCAAATAATGTAGAAGAAATCTTCTGCCTGTAGAATCCCCCTCACTGCGCACAACTTTAATGGTCCATGTATTAATGAAAATCATACACATTCTGCAAAACACATATTGTTCATAAATCAAGAACACGTTCTCGAAGTCGAGTTATATCATTTTGGAAATGTTGAAAATAATGAGTCTCAATTTCATATTGCATTTTCTGGTATAAACAATAGCCGTTTTGTAAACATTTCTTTATATAATCATACACAGAAAGTACTTTATGTAGATTTAAGTTGGATTATTTATTATTCCTCTGATTTAAGGTCGAATATTGACTGCACCGCGAAAGAATTTTGAGTTTATTTACATCAAAATAAGATGACAAGTGGAAGATACTGATGTGGTATATATTTTATATCAAGTACATTGTAAGCTCTTTGCCTTATATCTGTAATTACGCAGCTGTTTGGCGTTTCTTTGCACAATTTGTATACAAAATCAGGCACTACTTCTCAAGATCCCTACCTAGAGATATGGCAAAGCACCTAGATATTTCTAGTTGCCTCTAGTTGATCGGAAGCTGTCATTGCATCAATTGGAAGACGATCTCGTGAAACTGAGGAACTGTCTGCTTGAGTGCTTTTCCATTGCAGAGTCATTTCTATGTTCATTTCCATTCCCATTTCCATTTTGATTTTGATTTTAATTTAATGCCATTCGCGAACAGGTTTGTGGCGCCCGAGCAGGGACCACAATGGATATGACAACAATTAGAATCTGCCACATGTCGCTGGGCTCTTTGTTCGCCTGGCTCTATGGATCTCTAATACAAAATACAAAGGGGGCATCGCAAAAGCCGAAAAGCACTTGTTTTGTTCAGCCCAACGCGGCTTTTGTTTGTACTTGCCATTTTCTGTCCAACTGTCGTGCGGGGAGCTTGATTTAAAATGTTTATCTGGATTAGGGCCTTCTGCCGCTAATGTAATCGAGGCATTTTATAGCCACTACTTGAAATAGCTACTGGATCAACAACGGGGCGACACGAGCCACCCGAAGGGCCATAAAAAGTTAAACAAACGAGCGAGGCCCTCAACTCAACTGGATGACTTTCGGCGCAAAACATATAGACTGGCAAATGCATATACAATATATATGGTACATGGTATATGCACACCCAGAGATATTTGCATTCTGGTGACCCCGAGCAGGCAAAAAAAAATGTATTTATAAGACTTCCCACTTCAATGTATTATTTGTGTGCTAAATACTGGCAATAAGGTGGGCCAGAGCAGAAAATAGGAGGGGGAAGGCGAAGGAGGGATCGACGGTGCTAGAGAAAGTGTCAGACTGGTGACCCCCAACAGCCTGAAATTGCTTACGTGGCGGGTTTTATGAGATTTCCCTGGCTCGTTTGTTATTTGTTTGCTAAATGCACAGGAAAAACATTATCGCTGCCGATATTGACTGCTCAATTTTCGCATACTGTTCAAATAAACGATCTTAGCTTAATCTTGATTGAGTTCAATCAGTATCTTATTTATTTAAAGCTTATGGATAATAAGGGTGGGTTATGAAATTGGCTATTCTCAGGTATATTCTTATAATAATATTATTATTTATAGTTAGGATTTTGGAAATACTCTTATTGAGATGATTTGGTGAACATGTTGTCATGTTTTCTACGGATTAATTCTGGTAAGGAAAGGTTAGATATATATTTTCAGATGCATAATATGCTACTTAGCTCCCATGGTCTGAGTAGACATGTGTGTTTAGTAAACATACACCCCTATTAAACCCCTCCTTGAATCTGTGATCATTCAGAGCATTGCAATTATGCAGCTAATTGCGCAATTAAAGCAGTTGCATTTGCAGTTGCCTTGCATTCGCAGCCCCAAAAAACAGAATTCTTTGCACTGCCAGCACAGACTGTATCTGCATCTGTAGCCGAATCCAAATCCGAATCCGTATCCGTGTATCTGACGCTATATCGAGGAACTTTGCGCTGACCCAAACCAATTCGAATCGGTTCGAGCCGCCTCGCCGCCCCCCAAAAAATCTGAAAGAGCGAGGGCCAGGCAGAAAATAAACAAACAAATAAATAAATAATTATGGCGGAGAGCGATCTATATGCGCTTTATTTTAGTCATGCCTCGAACTCGAAGGAAATGTTTGCCCGGCCAAAAATAAAGCGGCTCGCAATTTTCAAATTTCAAATTGGTCGCGTTTCAGGTTCAAGAACATTGTGCGTTGCCTTAGAGATGCTAGAGATCACCATGAATGCATTCGCATAGGAGATATAAAGATAATACCTAGAGATGGTGAGTAGCTCAGCCCCCATCCCTCGGAATTTTGGACACTTCCTGGTATTTTAAATTAATCCAAGTATTTGAGGATGTGGGGCCAGAGCTGTCTGACCTTTCTACTTCCTCCTCAAAGCCCCCATAACCATATTCTCCTTCTCCCCCGAAAACGCCGACACGTTTCTCTTGTCTTATCTGCGAGCAAATATTTTGATTAAATTGTAACTTCCCTAGGATTCCATTTTATTTCTGTTACATTGCTCTGTCGTAAGAAAATCGCTGCCAGTGGTGATTTAACTTGTTTGATTGCCGACACACCAAACAAATATTCATGTTTTCCATGTGATTTTGTGCGGAATGGCGAATCAAATGCAATCAGAAACGATTGAGTGGCCAATTGGATGTGAGCACTGAGAAATCGATAAGGAAATCGAAATCCATATGGGTGTAAGTTAACTAACCAAATTAGTTTTATAATAGATTTTCTTGTGGGTCACTGGGCGTATACGTAACTTATTGAAAGCGGTATAAGAAAAAGGTAAGGAGATGGAAAAACAGATGCCTTTAAACTCATTATAAAATGTCCCATCATTTAAGATAATATCTATTTCAACAATTTAATTAATGTTTTCATTTTCCACTCACGCTGTAATATCAGAAGAATTAAAAAGAATCCATGGGCATAAATACATCGTCGATGCAAATCTTGAAGAGATGCAAATCTTTGACTTTGAACTCACCTCTTCGCGGCAGCGGTGGGCGTGGCAATGCACAAGTCTCGTTATCGGCGCCCTTTCCACGTCCTTGTTATCGGTGTGATCGTTATTTGGTTGTCGATTGATCTGCGATATTGCTTCCATTCAAATAGTTATCGCTGGTTTTTGGTGTCGCTGACTATGTTTTTACCCGTTTACCCTGACTCTTCTAGGCGCCTCGTGTTTGCTTAATACTCGAAATATACTGAAACCCATAGGTAAAATCAATCATCAACCATCGGATTCATCTTTATAATCCTTTTCCTATCGCCCGGTTGTGCACATGCGATCGGAAGATCCACGCGATCGGCACGTTTCACCCAATTCTACCCAACGGCCAAAATATAAACAATACGCGACACGTGAATCGCGAATCGTGGATCCTCATGTGGCCCCCAGAAAGCGAAAGTCTTTCGTGCGAAAGAGTGGGCAATAGCACACAGGGGCAGAAAGAGACGGAACTAGAGGAAAATTTGTTTTGCCAAAAATGAAAATGGAAAAACTGATTCTATCTTGTTTATTTCGGACACCCAGTGGGTGAGTCTGCTTGTTATTTCGATCGTTTTTAGTACGTATATACTCCGTTTTGTTTATGTTTTTCTTTTTTTTTCTTTCCTTTTTTTTTGAAATTTTTATTCGTTACTTACGCACAGAAAATATGGTATGTCTGTGATTCTTTTCTCTCTATTGACAAGCCATGGCAGCCTTTTTAAATTTGTCCCATATCCGAGGTATTGCTAAATTTTCCTATACCACAATCGGTTCTTCCAAGTACCCGTTACCCGTTGCAACCGGTTAAACCGGTTCCGAGTGTTTTCCGTTTTACAAATATAACTCATCCCTGGAACTATGAGTTTTATTTTTCAAACTGTTGCCGAGAGCTATTTCCGCCAACAAGTGTCGTCTTTTTCGTCTATATTTGATTCTAGGCATGGGAAAATTACGTGTCCGAATGACGCAGCACCTTCAGAAGGATGATATATGACATATTTATAGCCGAATCGCATCGAATCGGGAATCTGACTGTCCTTCTGATGCCAATGTGAGGTCAATGCGGCTTGGTCTGCCGACAAAGTGCCGAAAGAGAGATGATCAGATAGAGAAGAATTCGGATTCGGAAGGTGGACCGGACCTGTTCGGTCTGGAATGGGGCAGTTCAGACCCACCACATGGGCCAGACCGCTATGAGACTGGGGTAAAAATACACACTCTTTTCAGGGAGGGGGTCCAAGTGCTGACGTTGACATTGGATGACGTCTCGTCGGACTCGTCGTAGGTGTATGGCTATTTGCCATATCCTATATATACATATATCCATCAGATCGCTGCGTGATGTCGACCAATGTCGGGCCAAATGAAATGAGTTAGCCCAGTCAGTCTGCTGGATTCGGACACTCGGACATTCCTGACTCGGTCGGACACGTGCTGGGAGTACCTGGGAGTACTTCCACCGCAAACAGCCCGGACTTATCAAAGCGGAGCTGTTCCAATTCGAATTAGCATGTAAATACGAGGAAAAACAACGGCCAAGTGAAAATATTCCCACAATTTAAATGCAAATTTTGAGTAAACAAAACCAGGCGCACAATATTTACTTGTGTTATTTTCCATGCTGAATATGAAATGATATATCAATCAAATTATATGTAAATACTAGAACGATTATCCGCCCTCTTATTACAAAACTCGATCGCTAGTACAGTCTGCATGGCGAGGGGTCATCGCTGCGATAACGATAACCCTTCGCGAGGGCCCATCTACACTACGCAATTCTGGTGGAATTTGAATCCTTACTTTGTGGCTATTTTCCGCTTTGGTTAACGTAACTCGCATTTCTATCCGTCGGCCGTGTGCTGTTCCTTTTTATTTTTTCTTCTTTTTTTTGATGTTCGGAATTGGAAACAAAGTTTTCCGCTGTTTTTTCCAACTTGTACGATTTGTTGATGCTTTCGCGCTGAAATGTGTTTATAATTTGGACTCTTGCCAGGTGCTTTAGTGGTTCGATTTTCCTTTTATTTGCTTGGTTAGTGCTTGTTAATTTTTTTGTATATATTATTTGTTTGCCTTTAGTTGTAATTCATTTATATTGATCTCTTCACGCTCTAGAAACGCTTGCGTGGAAATCGATTTCAATTGGTATTCGCACCGCCTGGGAATCGGAATAGGATCACTAAACGATTGATTTTATGTGTAATTTTTATTAGGCTTTATTTGTATTCGTTATTCTTGGTTTCTTTTATTTTTTTGATTTTTTTTTATTTTTTCAACGGATAATCGCAGATTTCGTGTGCTAATGTCGCGGCTTGAACTTTAAAACTGAAAACGAACGAATTTCAGATGTTTCGCATTGTTTAGTGCGCTGTGCGAGAGCTCTATTGTTGTTGCAGTTGTTGTATTATGTTTACTACTGGCTAGGTGCAGCACGGCAGCGACGCCGGCAGAATCCGAGTCCGAATCAGAATCCCACCGATCCCAGCTCCCCTGGCAGCCCCCAAAGTCCCCACAGCCCATTCCCATCGAATGTCTCCCCACAATGGAGCGCTCAATGAGCTTGAGTGTCATCCACTTAGGAAGCGCCAACCACTGAACTCGCCACAACAGTACCAAAAAAATATAAAAAAAATACATTAAAAAGGAAAAATAAAATCAAAAACACAACAACCACTACAGCAATGAACTGGGGACGGCGGCAGAGGTCGATGTCGACGTCGTGGCAGATGATTATAATACAATGGACGAGATAATGCGAGCGATCATGTAAATTAGATTTGTCTCAGTTCAGTTCAGGCGACGTTCGCTATTCGTTAGGTGGCCGAATACACGACGTGACATGCCGAAGATCTTTAAGATCCCAGGGGGAAACAAAAACAAAAACAAAACCTGCCATTTATTGCATTATTCCTCTCAAGTGCTCTTCGTTGAGTTTGAAGCTTGGATTTCATTTCCATTTGCTTGTTTTCCTTTCATTTCTAGGAATAGGGGTGGATTTGGGGGGTAATTCTTCAATGGAATCAATGATATCAAGCAGCTTGTGGGCGTGGCATTCTAGCGAATGATTCAGTACAAAATAAATAGAAGGAAAAACAGGGAAGAGCGCTCACGCTCACCGAAAATAATACGAAACGCTGGCCAGAGCCAGAAGCCCAGCAAATTGAAATAATTCAATTAATTTGCATTGTAAGTATAAGTACGGCTGTATTGTAATCAAAGAAAATGTGGGGAGGCTGGTAAACGAGTGCGCTACAATGAAATCAGTTTAAATGAATATGCCAAGTGGCCACTCGAAGGCAATTGATGCAAGTGAATGCGCGCAAAAGCCACCGAACATTCCACAAGCGCTCTGCGGAAGGAAATAAACTGAGACTAGCCTGTGTTGATGGACAAAACGTTTTTCAAATTTAAATCTAAAGCGCGCGCAAGTCGCTTGCGCTAGCTAAGGTATCGATAATATATCGGTCGAGGTTTGTGTATGTGCTAAAGTG